AAGCTGAAGCTGACTTCCAAGCTAGGTGATAGGGTCCAGAACTTAACCTCTTGGGCACAGGATAAGGCAGACAAGGGTGGAGAAAGTATTGAGGTTCAAATGCAGATCAAGAGTTGCCAGCAAAGTCCACTCTTTTTGTCCTCTAGCATCGATCCCTCTTCTGTATTTAGATTGAGAAACTTGGGTCATTGTGGAATGATGCCGGTTTAGTTGTGGTCCTACTTGGAACCTGAAGTTGTTGCACTGTTGGTACTTGTCCTGGTAGGGAAATCAGGGAAAAAGAAAAAATATAAAGGAACGCTGTCATAGCCCCTGCTTCTACAGATAGTCACAGAGCCTGAATTCAATAATTGTAGTCTCCTCCCACCACCAAATTCTGCACTCCCTTACACTGTGTCAGCACTTTTTTTTTTCTTTTTCTTTTTAAACCTGGTGGAGTGGCCCAAACGTTTGTGTTCTTATTTTCTTTAAGTAAATACCTAGTGGTGGAATTACGGGATTGGGCGGTTTTAGTGCTATATTTTAAACAATCAAAATTAATGCAGAAAAATTCTTGATGAACAAAATGCTAAAATTTAAAATAAAGACAGGCCTAGCAGTGCCATATTGAGCCACATTGAAGCCTGGGGCAAAAGGAAGAATGTGTACTCTAGAAACATATGTTCCTGTAATTTTTTAATGGTTAATTTTTTCCCCCAGAACATTAAAGCAGTTGAAAAGTGTTGAAAATCGGAAGTAAGTATATTAAAATTCACAACATTATTTTAATTTTAAATATTTCATCTGTGGCCCAAACAGAATTTTTTATAATTTTACTTTCCTGGCTTTAACTAAAGGAAACACTTCAATAATGTGGTCAAAATTTACTTCTTTGCTAATCCAGCTTTCACTTGAGAGTTGTTGGATATAGTAAGAGAAAGTGACTTTGCAAGTATATTTGGTGGGTGTAAAGTTTTTTTTTTTAAAGATTTTATTTGTTTATTTGACAGAGATCAAAGGTAGGCAGAGGGGCAGCCAGAGAAAGAGGAAGGGAAACGGGCCCCCTGCTGAGCAGAGACCCCCCCCCCCCCTCCGCCATGCAGGGCTCGATCCCAGGACTCTGGGATCACGACCTGAGCCAAAGGCAGAGGCTTTAACCCACTGAGCCACCCAGGTGCCCCGTGGTGGCTGTAAATTATTAGCAAGAGGTGTGAATCTATTTCCTGAACCTGAAAGTGAATTAAAAGAGAAACTGGGAATGTATGAATTACCAGATGTGATATTCTTATTGGAAAAAGCTGATCAAGTAAACAGTAAAGAGATTGTAGGCACCCGTATTAGTTTCCTATTGCTGATAAGACAAATTGTCACCACCGAATTGGTGACTTTAAAACAATACATTTATTATCTTACTGTTTTGGAGGTAGGGTATTCTAAAACCAAAGTGTCAATAGGGCCATATTCCCTCTGGAGACTCTGGGTGGGGATTCCATTTTCTTGCTTCTTCTAGCTTCTAGAGACCCCTGCATCTTTTGGTTCATGGCTCCTTCCTCCTTTTTAAAGTTAGTAGCAGAGGATTTTCAAATCTCTTTCTCTGAATCTGACCATACTTCCTCCCTCTTATAAGGACCGTTACGATTACAGTGGGCCCTTCTACCTAATCCAACATAATTTTCCATATCCAGTTGTTTGATTTAATCACACCCACAATATCTCATTTGTTATGTAAAGTAACATATTCACAGGTCCTGGGAATTAGGATGAGGACATTTTTGGGGTCTTATTCTGACTACCAAGCATATTAATTTTACATTCAAAATGGAGGTATGAAAAATTAAAGTGCTTTAGATTTTGAATTTTTAGCTGGAGGGATAATCTTGTTTACAAAATGCAGCCACTCACTTGGCTCTTAAATATTTTGACAGTTTAAGTCTTATGAAAATTCATCTGAAATAGTTTTAAGTGTCATGCGAGATCCATAATTTGTAATATAAAATCAATGTTGTGTTTGGATCTTCTCAAACTGATTCACAAATTTTGTTCAGTGCTGTCTTATGTAAGTTTGGAAGTGGACTGCAGAACTTAAAAAAAAAAAAAAAAAGCAGTCCCAGTGTTCTGCAGAAGAAATTTCAATAAGCTGAAGTTAATTAAAAATTATTTATGGAGCACCTGGGTGGCTCAATTCGTTAAACACCTGACTCTTGATTTTGGCTCAGGTCATGATTTCAGGGTCAAGCCCTGCATCCATCCTGAGTGTGGAACCTGCTTAAGATTCTCTCTCTCCTTCTCCCTCTGCCCTTTCCCCTCCTCCCTTTCTAAAAAATAACAAATTAATCAAAGAAATTATTTGAGATTGTCACTCGGTCAAGAGATTGTCAAACAGGGAAGTTGTCTATATTGAAAACAAGCAAAAGTAGATTTAAAAAATATATTGATGTTTTCTTTCATTAGAGCCAGTTAAGTAAAATAATAATATCATTTTGGTATAAATAAACTTAAATATAAAATAATGATTGTGAGTTTTAATATACTTTCTTTTTTTTTTTTAAGATTTTTATTTGTTTATTTGACAGAGATATCACAAGTAGGCAGAGAGGCAGGCAGAGAGAGAGGAGGAAGCAGGCTCCCCGCTGAGCAGAGAGCCCGATGCGGGGCTCGATCCCAGGACCCTGGGATCATGACCTGAACCGAAGGCAGAGGCTTTAACCCACTGAGCCACCCAGGTGCCCCTTAATATACTTTCTTTTCAGTTTTTCAATAGTTTTCAACCACATTAATGTTCTGAAAAAATATTAATCATTAAAAAATACATATAAACATATCTGTGATTTGTTTTTGTCTCAGGCTCTAATATGGCTCATCAAGACATTTTTCTTTTTAGTTTTTAAGTTTATTAATTAAATAATCTTTACACCCAATGTAGGGCTTGAACTCACAACCCCAGAGTCACAGGCTCTTCTGACTGAGCCAGCCAGGTACCCCATGACACTATTGATTCCTGCATATAAAATTTTGATATTTTCTTCATTATGAAATTTTTTGCATTAAATCTGATTTTAAGAAATATTGCCTTGAGAGCCTGGGTGGTTCAGTTGGTTAAATGTCTGACATATGATTTCAACTCAGATCAGGATTTCATGGGTCATGAGATCAAGCCCTGCCTGGGGCTCTGTGCTCAGCTGGAAGTCTGCTTAAGGTTCTCCCTTTCCCTCTCCCTCTTCCCCTCCCCCACCTGTGCATGCATGCACTCTCTCTCTCAAATAAATCTTTTTTTTTTTAAATGATTTTATTTGAGAGAGAGAGAGTGAGCACAAGCAGGGGACACGGTAGAGGGAGAGGGAGAACAGACTCCCCACTGAGAAGGGAGCCAGATGTGGGGCTCAATCCCAGGACCATGACCTGAGCCGAAGGCAGATGCTTAACCGACTGAGCCACCCAGGAGCCCCAATAAATCTTTTAAAAAAAATACTGCATTAAGGTATTATTTATCTTGATTATTGAGTTTTTGGTACCCCCCCCCTTAAATTTTGCACCCAACATGAGTGCTTTTTTCATTTTATCCTAATTCTGGCCCTATCTTCTGCTGTAAAATGGGTTCCTTTGTTGGAGGTAAAGTTGAGTAGGATCCTGTAGTGTTGAGTAAGGCATTTGGTAAGGCCTTAGTCAGTGCTAGCAGCAGAGTTGTGGGCAGGGAAGGCAAATCCTTACCTGGAATGGGTATCCCTGCAAGGGGGCTGCAACCTTGGTTGCACGTCAGAAGCACCTGAGGAGTTTGTAAAATGCCTGTGATCACATTGTACTCAAGACCAATAAATCAGTCTCTGTAATTGCGACCTAAGCAGCCGTCACTGTTAAAGCTCCTCAGGTGATTCAGTGTGCAGCCAAGGCGGAGAACAACTTACGCACGTCAGTACTTACTAAACTTCAGTATGTACACGAATCATCTAGAGATGGTGTTACAGTGTGGATGTATTAGCTTCAGGGCCTGAGAGCTGCATTTCTAAAAAGCTTCCTGGTGTTGCTATTGTTGCTGGTTCATTGACCACACTTGAGTAGCAAGGACTCCTGGTGTGTTAGAGGTATTCTGGTGTTTTAACCCCACCCCCTGTAGGCCACAGTTGCATTCAGATTGCAGTTAACAAATCCAGGAGACACTACCTCCGGGTGTCTGAGCTAACTCTTTAAAGCCTGAATTTTGTTTGAATGTACTCCTAACAATAAAGTCAGCCATACCCAGCCATATATTTTGTCCTCCTTGGTCTAAACCCATCCATGTCTCTGGCATCTTGCTGATACAAATTGGAAAGATGCTACAACCCCAGGGTATGTGCTGTTTTCCCAGAGGTAGTCTTGTATTTATAACCCTAGGCTAAGCTGGAACCTGACCCCCTCAGCGGCCTGCAGGTGGTAAGAAGTAATAGCAGTGATGCTGAGGAGACTGGGCATCTCCTTGTGAAGTAACTGCTTCAAGTGAAGTTACTGAAAGGTTTTTATGCAAGGGAAGCCTGATTGGAAAGAGGGAGAAGGGACTGCCTTTTTCAGCACGAAGGTTTGAGAGTTTGGATGTCCAAAGTTAAACTTCCCATGTTAGTTCAAACATCCTCATCTCAAGATACAGAGTCCCACTTCCTGTCAACCATCGTGCGTACCTTCTCACTGGCAGCGTCATACTTCTACATGGCATTGCACATCTGCAAACCATACACGTGGGCATGGGGCCACAGCCTCAGCCAGGTCTGTCGTGGAGCTTTAGGACTGCAAAATGAAGACATGTTAAAAGAACCAGATGCCTTGAAGTTCTACACTATTTAGCTAGACATAGAGTTTTCTACCTGTTTAGTTAATCTTAAACATGAGAATAAAAGTGAGTACAGAAATTTTAAATAATTCTTTAAATGAATGAATCGCCATTGCCAATCGTTGAATATTAAGAGGGGCCTTGAATGTCTGAGATGCTGTATCACACTGACAATAGATTCTTAAATTGTTGATGATTCACATCTTCTGTTTTTTATTTACAGAAACTCATTGGAGAAGTGTTTAATATCGTGAGCCAACAGTCTACTGCTCGACCTGGCTGCATTATTGAACTCGATGCAATAACCAACCAAGTAAAAACATGCTTGTGAATTGGGGGTATTAATATACTTTATCTCAGAGTGCTTTATGTGTATATATTTCATGATCAGAATAATTCTCTTGTTTAAGAATTGTAAATACAGCCAGCTTCTCTTGATTTCCACAGTGAAAATCTAACGATTTAGGAATTACTCTCCAGCTAAATTTTATCTGTAGCCTTATTTCCTGTTTAAAGGTCATTCGATTCAGTCAGGAAAACTGTGAAGGAAAATACATTACAGCTGCATAGGGGCTTGAGTTGTGGTTTCTCTTTTTATACTATTCCTCATTTCAACTCTGATGATAGTTCAGCTTTAGACTGATTGCCTTGTTAGGCTGAATATTAGATGTTTTTACAATATCCATAAAAAGTAAGATCAAAGTATACATTTACTTTCTAATCCTAAGTCTTTTGTATAGTCATTGTTCTTCCTTGGCAACTACCCAGGAAAGAGGGAGAACCCTTCTCCCTACAGTGAGTTTATAAATCCCTTTCTAGACCTCAAGATACTTGTTTCTTCAGGATCATGTTGATGGACTAAGGGATAGCACTAATATATTCATTCCAAATAGGAAAAAAGATTGTTTTGGTGAGGAAGTTACCAATATTTTCAAACAAGGAAATGAAGAAATTGAGCAAACCATATTTAAAAACAAATATAGTTGTATTATTTTTTTCCCATGGTGCCTGATAGTTTCTGTTGGGGAAAATGTAATAATTTCCACTAATGTAGAGAAATGTCAGCTCTTGGCAACAGAAATATGGCTGCCAGATTCACGTTACTAATGCCTCCAAGGAAATCCCTAACCCGTGATTTCCTTATTCTCCTCCATAGGGATATGGCAGAAGAGTGGACTGTCTTCATTCCCATAAAGGTCTTCATTTTTAATGGGCTGAGTGTTAAGTTCTTCTCCCACTTTAGCTCCTTCTCTTCACCATGGGATATTAACAGAGGCCACTCTTACTTAGCATCATGCTTTTCACTTCACAGCTGTTCAAGATCCCCCCCCCCCTTAGTAGTGGCTATCTTTAACATAAGGGCTGGTGAACTGTAAGCACCGATAAATGGCTAAAACTCATTCTAGGTTTGTGCCCAATGTGCTGTATGATTTCGATATCCATGAAGAACTCACCCTTCCCTTCTCATTTATTTTTTCCTTTGGGGAGGTGACCTTTTTCTCTACACGTGAAGAGATTTTTGGTTTCTATGTGGGGACACATAAAAATACCATATAACTTTCATAAATTTTCTGTGGGTCAACCTAATATTATAGTTCTTTCATTTCTGTGTAGTTTGTAAGGAGGTTGACCTCCTTTATTCCATAAGATTTAGCCCACCCATCCATGCCTCCATTCCTTGAAATCTGTGAGGCAGCCTCTAATTGTCTTAACACACTTCCACCCAAAGATTTTGTCTGAATTTAGTTTTTTCTTGAATTTCCATTCCCTTTGTGATTATAAGTAGCCATTTGTATTGTTTTTAGTTTTTTTTCTCTGTGTTAAAAAGACGCAGTCACCTAGCATATCAGTAGCAGCTGATGATGATGGCTCCTCCATCCGTTTAGAAATCCTTGTTACTTACATGTGAATACATTAATCTAGAGGTGTGTCACCCTCTGGCTGTCATAGGGCCCCTCACAATTCCCACTAGATAGACTGGGAATACTTTGAGGATGTTTCTGGTTTTCCTATTTTTGGTTCCCAAGTGGAATTAGAAAAACTAAGGGAATCCTATACTAGTTGCCTTATTACATAGTCAGCATAGCCTTCTCCAGCAAGTCATGAGACCTAATATTTTTGAGCTCAAAGTGGTGTAGATCACTTATGGTGGGTGTGTGTGTGTGTGTGTGTGTGTGTGTGTGTTTTGAGAAGCAGGTATGTTGATTTGTTTTTATTAGAGCTCTTCAATTCTGCTATTGGCTGGCTATAGCATCTCTGAAAGCAGTTTTCTCTGCCCAGGTGATTCATTTTTTTCTGTTGCTTTTTCCTTTCTAATTTGTCAGTTGATAAAGAATAGAAATTGTTAGATTTATTTCTTCTACATTTGTGTTCTTGGGGAGGTGGTGGGTGGAAGACAGGGAATTTCAAAGATGAAACTTCATTTTTTTCCTATTTGTAGTGTGGCTCAAATACACAGTTGCTTCATGTATTTCAAGAAGACTTCATTATAGGATACAAACCACATAAGGAAGATATGGAGAAAAAGGAAACAGAAATTTTTTTTCAGCCTTCACAAGGTACTTTTAAAAAGTAGTCTTGAGTTTGACACTATAATCTTAAAAACAAACTCCAAATTGTTATTGAATATGGATCTTTATATCAAAAGTCATCACTCATAATTTTTAGCACAAAACAACAGTTCTGTAAAAATTTCTTGTTTGTATGTGAAGAAAGCATGTGGGTGAATATTACATCCAGTTTCACCAATGACAAAGACTGTTGTCAAGAAAATATTACTTATGAATCCTAGTTTGTTTTAAAAAATAATTTTAATTGTTCAGTTCTGCAATTAAATTACTTTGATTGGTAGTAAATTCCCTGTGGTATCTCAAGCAAACCATTTAATCTTAGTGTAAGTTTTTAGAAGTCCTCAGTACACTGCTAAAGACCATTGATGAGTATACAATATAAGACATTGTTTTGTATGGTGTATCAGGAACCTCAGGTACACTGAATTAAAGGTACCATCTCACAGTATTCCCCTGTGACATGTAGTATTTGGTTTTTCGTGCAAAAAAAGTAGTTCTTCATAAGAGCTTTCAAGATAGACCCCATGTGATGTTTAGTTTAAACTTCATTATTTAGCTTAAAATGTTCCTTTTAAAAGTTCTAACTTTATAATTATAAGACAGTCCTATTCTATTTTAATTTAGTCAACCTAGAACAAATGTTGAACAAATGTCAACATAGAACAAATAGAATATTTTCTATTTGAAAGAAGGAAAGACATCTTCTATATTAAGAATTCATTTTATATGATGAAGATGTTTTTAGTTTACAGAAGGTTTCCAGATATTTTATCTAATTTGGTTATAGATCATAAGTATCTAAATAGACATAATTAATTTTATTGATGTAGCTTGTATCACAGAATTATGTATTGTCATTTATGAACAATATTTCTACCAAAATTTTATAGGTAATTGCCTTTTCATAAGAATGAATTCTTCTGTGACATTTCTTCACTAGTCACTAGTAATTTTTTCCTTTCATGCATCTTCTAATATTAATACTTTTTCTTCTTGATAAGTTATTCAGTTGTCACATGGTTTTATTTTACTATCAGAGTATAAAAGGACTGCTTTATATATTTAAAATGTGCTTTTCCATAATATTTTACCTTTATTTGGGTTGAACTTTTTTATTTGCTGTCCCATAAACCTAGGTACTGTTTATCATTCTACCTCTAACAAGAATACAAACAAGAATAGAAACAATGCTTGTAAAAATATATAATTCTATATATATATAGAATACTATATATATAGTACTATGATATTTTTACTATATTATACTATAGTATAATACTGTAATATATACTATACTAAAAATACTATAATATTTTTAATTGAAAGACTTACATTTAAAAATACTCTTTTATTTCCTTCTTTTGAAATTTCTTTATGTAATCGCAAAATTAGACCAAAAGATTTCCTAATGCCTTTCTTGGTTTTTCTTTAGATTTTGTGCAGTTTCTTTGACATTCTTCTTGAGTTTATAGTTACTTTCTTTCTTTTTTTTTAATTTTTTAATTTTTTTTTAAAGATTTTATTCATTTATTTGACAGAGAGAGATCACAAGTAGATGGAGAGGCAGGCAGAGAGAGAGAGAGAGAGGGAAGCAGGCTCCCTGCTGAGCAGAGAGCCCGATGTGGGACTCGATCCCAGGACCCTGAGATCATGAGCTGAGCCAAAGGCAGCAGCTTAATCCACTGAGCCACCCAGGCGCCCTATAGTTACTTTCTTAAAGGACTTGATAAGCAAATGTTCTTTCTTCCTGGCTCCTGCCTTATTTTGTACTTTCTGAGTTTTAATTAAAAAATAATTTCTCTTTTAATTTTTTTAAATTTAAAAAAGCTTTTTCATTTTAAATAGGCTCCATCACCAGCATGGGGCTTGAACTCACGTCACTGAAGTCAAGAGTCTCATGGTCTACCAGACACCCTTCTAATTTCTCTTTTAATTAAGAAAAATGCTAATTACAAACAAAAGTAAAGTATATAGTTTAAAGATTTTAAGATTTGGGGGTGCCTGGGTGGCTCAGTCACTAAGTGTCTGCTTCAGCTCAGGTCATGATCCCAGGGTCCTGGGATCAAGCCCTGCATCGGGTTCTCTGCTTGGTGGGAAGCCTGCTTCTCCCTCTCCCACTCCCCCTGCCTATGTTCCCTCTCTTGCTGTGTGTTTCTGTCAAATAAGTAAATAAAATCTTTAAAGATTTTAAGATTTTCTTTTACTTGCTTTATCCTACTTTCTTTTTCTTTTTTCCTGAAAAATTTTTTTAAAAGATCTATTTATTTATTTGAGAGAGAGAGAGAGAGATCACAAGGTGGGGAGGAGCAGAGGGAGAGAGAAAATCCTGAAGTTACTCCCTGCTGAGCGTGGAACCTGATGCAGGGCTTGATTCCAGGACCCCAAGACCATAGCCTGAGCCAAAATCAAGAGTCAGCCACTTAACTGACTGAGCCACTAGGTGCCTCTTCCTGAAATATTATCAAACAAACCCAACCGTCATGTTGTTTCACTCCTGTGTTCTTCCACATGCATTTCTAAAAATGACTTTCTTAAATGAGTATATTATCACATTGATCAATAACAAAATTCCTCAGAATTGTATAATAACTAGTCCATATTTACTTTATTCAGTTGTCTCAAAATGTCAAAAGTTATTTGATTTTCAGTTGTTTGGATTTGTATCCAAAGTCTATACATTGTATTTCATTGTTTTTTTTTTTTTTTAAGATTTTATTTATTTATTTGACAGACAGAGATCACAAGTAGGCTGAGAAGCAGGCAGAGAGAGAGAGAGGTGGAAGCAGGCTCCCCAATGAGCAGAGAGCCCGACGCGGGGCTCGATCCCAGGACCCCGGGATCATGACTTGAGCCGAAGGCAGAGGCTTTAACCCACTGAGCCACCCATGCGCCCCCGTATTTCATTGTTTAAGGGTCTTTTAATTTGAAGTGACTACCCATTTATACTCTCATCATGCCACTTATTTTAGAGAAAGTTATTTTATAATAATTTGCCTAACTAGTTATTATGGTGTCATTCACACTTTCTTCTATCAGCAGATTACCTATTTAGATTTAATTAGATCCAGGTTCAACTTCCTAGGTGATGCTATGTCCTTCATAGAAGAACATACGAAAGAATATCACTTAGGATGCCTTGTTTTTAGTGATGCTAAGATGCAGAAGATTCAGGTGGTGGTTCTAGTGTAAAGTTTGCTGCAATCTACTACATGAAGCAATCATGGTTTCTTCAATTAATGTTGTTTTTGGACCCATTATTTCATTAAAGATTGCAAAATTATGATTTCCTAACTTTATCAGTTCTCATTTACTTATTAGCTGGAAAGTATTTGTAAAGAAGAGTTTTCCCTTATCAACTAGAGCTACTTGGTTACTTAGAAATAAAAAGTTATTTTTAGGAAAGGCAGGGTAAGTATTTAGTTCCTTCCATTTAATTCACAATTTCAGAAGAGGGAGTTTGTGCCCAAGTTATCACCAGGGATTACTGATGAATATATTATTGTTGTTGCTTAACTTTCTTTTTCTTTTGACTACCATTATGAATCCATTTTTAAAGAACTTTTTATTGAAGAATAGTATAGATATAGAGAGGTACTCATCACTCCTGGGTTTTTATGTACTTAGCATATTTCAGTCAGTTTCAGTCGTTCTTTATAGTGCTCACATTGTCCTATGTGAGGCTAGTGAGGACCCTTTCAAGTTGGTTCTGAGTCCTTCTGACACAGCCTTATTATTATTACTATTTGGCTTTCTTTCAGCACTATAAGTTCTCCTAGGCTCATGTTGTAGATATCCTTTGCAAGAATGGAGTTATCACTCCAGACTGTTCTTTTTAATGAGGTATGGTATTCAGAAACCACAATTAGAGCTCTAGCAGTGATCATTTCCAATGAGTTGTTATTGTGGGTTTTCATTTTTAAAGAAAGTTTTTGCTCAACATCATTCATCGGGGAAATTCAAATAGAAACCATAATGATATATCACCTCACATCTGTCAAAATGCCTAAAATAAAAAAACATGAGAAATAACAAGTGTTGACAAGGATGTGGAGAAAAAGAAACCCCATGCACTGTTGATGGGAATGTAAACTGTCACAGGCACTGTGGAAAACAGTATGAAGGTTCCTCATCTTTGACCAATAGGTATACCTTCATGTTGGCTTTTGTGTACTTTTGACATAGTCCCATTAGTCTTTTTTTTTTTTTTTTAAGATTTTATTTGTTCGTCAGAGAGAAAGAGCAGAAGCAGAGCTGCAGGCAGAATGGGCAGAGCAGGCAAAGGGAGAAGCAGGTTCTCCGCTTAGCAGGGAGCCTGATGCGGGACCCTGGGATCATGACCCAAGCTGTAGGTAGAAGCTTAACTGACTGAGCCACCGGTGTCCTAGTCCCATTAGTCTTTGATAGCTACTTACCTTTTGTCACAAAAATTACATAAAACTCCTAAATATCTATTTTTCCCTCTTCCTCTCAACTTGCATACATATCAAAAACAATCTGAAGGGTTTGAAGAGGTGGGGGGGTGGGAGGTTGGGAGAACCAGGTGGTGGGTATTAGGGCACGGATTGCAAGGAGCACTGGGTGTGGTACAAAAAACAATGAATACTGTTATGCTGAAAATAAATTTAAAAAATGATTAAAAAAAATAAAAGATATGTTACTGTAAGGGCCTACTTAGGCAGAGGGAGCCATTTTGTTGTTTATGCAGTAAACTTAGATTGACCCTGCCCCTCCCAGAGGAACTTAATTGCAAAGCCCAGATACAAGGGCAGGTCAGGCCAGGTGGAGACATCCAATCAGTGGAGCACGCATACTGTCTCCCTAGCTACCAGGGAGAGTGGGCCCCGCCTTTTGGACGCCAGTTCTGACCAAGGTGATAGGCTAGTTCAAATATCTACTAGGGTAGGGGCTCCTGGGTGGCTCAGTTGGTTAAGCAACTGCCTTCGGCTCAGGTCATGATCCCGGAGTCCTGGGATCGAGTCCCACATCGGGCTCCCAGCTCCATGGGGAGTCTGCTTCTCCCTCTGACCTCCCCTCTCATGCTCTCTCTCTGTCTCTCAAATAAATAAAAAAAAAAGCCATTGTGCAAATATCTACTAGGGTAAATTGTAATCTCACTGGCCACCTATGTGTAGCCAGGCTCAACCACATTGCCTTTGCTCTATAAAATTTAGTCTTTGAGGCGGGGAGGGGTCTCCTCTTTGTTAGAGACGGCTGTGACCGGTCAGTTTGATTCTTGATGCTTGGCACAAAATAAAGCTTTGCTTGACCTTTTAAAAAAAAAAAAAGAGAGAAGTTTTTTGAAAGTGTCTTTCTTTTCACCCGATAGAACTATAACTTAAATATACTTTTCTTTTGAACAATAGGATATCGTCCACCACCATTTTCAGAAAAGTTCTTTCTAGTAGTAATTGAAAAGAACAGCAATAATTACTCTATTCTCCATATGTGGCACCTTCATCTTAAATCTGTACAAGCATGCTTAGGTAAGTAATTATAATTTTATGCTGAGATGTTATGAAATAAATTCATTTTACTGAATCTGTTTTAGGTTGGTTAATTCTTTAAAATGAAGATTCAGTGAACTATAAATTGAGTTGCTGGATTGAAGAATGGATATGCCAAGCTTTTAATTACAGGATCATAAATAATTGATGAAACAGGTTAATCTAAAACCAAACCATTCTGCAAGCACATTAGATACATTTTTTAAAAGTAAAAGTCTGATCCATTTATTTGTTCAATTAATATTTATTGAATGCTTATTATGACTCTGTTCTAGACACTATGTCTCTATAAATTTGTTTTCCGCATAGAATTAATATGGTACTTTTCTGTGGATGAATACACACTTTCATCTGACATAATGTACTTTAGAATCCTTACATCCACATGGATGGAACTAGAGGGTATTATGCTAAGTGAAATAAGTCAATCAGAGAAAGACAATTATCATATGATCTCACTGATACGAGGAATTTGAGAAACAAGACAGCATCTTAGGGGAAGGGAGGAAAAATGAATGGGAAGAAAGCAGAGAGGGAGACAAACCATGAGAGACTCTTGATTCTGGGAAACAAATTGAGGGCTGTGGAAAGGGAAGTAGGTAGGGGGATGGGGTAACTGGGGGATGGGCATTAAGGAGAGCACATGATGTGATGAGCACTGGTTGTTATATGCAACTAATGAATCATTGAACACTACACCAAAAACTAATGATGGCTAATTGAATTTAAATAAATTTTTTAAAAATCACTAAGAAAAGCAGATTTACTCTTTATAAAAATATGATTGAGCATCTAAAGCTCATTAGTCGAACTGTTTCTTTTTTTTAAAGATTTTATTTATTTATTTGACAGATCACAAGTAGGCAGAGAGGCAGGCAGAGAGAGAGGAGGAAGCAGGCTCCCCGCCGAGCGGAGAGCCCGACATGGGGCTCAATTCCAGGACCCCAGGATCATGACCCGAGCCGAAGGCAGAGGCTTTAACCCACTGAGCCACCCAGGCACCCCAGTCAAACTGTTTTTGTAGAATATTAAGAAATCTAACAGTTATAAGTTATATTAGCCATGTTTTTGCCATACACATTCATACTGATTTCTTAGCAAATTAGAAATTCTGTAGTATGAAGAAAAGAAGTTGAACTTGGATCCTTCTTCTTAGAACTGACGTTTACTTTCTGAGAGATAATTGTTAAAATGAATTAATACAGCCTTATGAACCTGAATCTGCTTTTAACTCAAAATATTTAAGTTTTTGAAAGATTTTATTTTTTACTGGTGGTTATATAATTTAACTGATTTTATACACATTAAACATTTAATACAGTTAACTAATATTTTTTGTTCCCTTTGTAATTCACATTATCACATAACTCTGTAAACAGCAGTTCTAACTGGGCCGTGAACTCAGGGTAGAAAAGCCAAATGATTTGATAGAACTTTTACCTGTGCCCATTTGAGCCTAATCTTCTTTTTTTAAAATCATGTTCCATTAGCCAACATTGGATTTTGATGTAGTATTCAGTGATTCATTAGTTGTGTATAACACCCAGCTCTTATCACACATCCTGTGTGAGCCTAATTTTCTTGAGGCAGCGGGAATCCAAAAGTTCTTTCAAAGACTTTTAAGTTCATTCTTGGTGTTACATGCTGTTTCACAAAAATGTGAGAGTAGAGTGATCTAAAACCAGCTTGTCAAGAAGAGAATTTTTAACTCACCAGAGAATATAGTATTTTCTAGGGTTGGACACAAAGCCAGGAAAGGTCCTGAAGAGATTAATGGAGGTAGTAACAGATCCTTATGGTAGGACAGGAAGATTGTGATACCTTCTGTCCCCACTATGTATGAGGGAAGTTTCCCACTGGTATTCCCCTAAATCCAGGTTTAGTGTAGAGTTTCTTGCTTACTCTGTTTCTGTTAGCAGTAAACGGTTACGAACAATATGACAGTAGAAGCAAACAAATAATATGCCCTCTTCAGCTATGAAAGCATCTGTCTTTTGGTTCTAACATTCACAGCAGATTTAGTGTAGTATATGCTGTCATTCACAGCTAATACTTGAATTTATCAGTATGTTGAAAATCTGGGCTGAGAATCAAATGATAGACTTAACTTTAGATGGGAAAGGAACATACTGACTATCTCTAAGGGACCAGGCACTGAGATAAGTGCTTTAAACATGTGAGACAGACATTATCCCCAGTTTACTAATGGAATAATACTAAGTAACTTGATCAAGTCCCACATCTAGTTTGTCATAGGACCAAGTTTTGTATCAGGTTTTTCTGTCTCTAAGGCCTTTGCTTTTTTCCCCCTGCTCTTTTTTTTTTTTTTTTTTTTTCTTTTTTTTCTTTCCCCCTGCTCTTATTTTCTTTCTTAGCATGAGAATAATACATTAGGAAAGTGCTTGGTTTACAGGAAGAGAAGTAATACAGCTTGACCTTATTTTGCAGATGAGAAAATAGCCAGAGATGGTGAAGTGCCTTGACTGAGGAGGCAACCTAGTTAGTGATAGGGCCAGGAGTAGTACTTCTTTCTGCTGAGTACTCATGGAAGTTTGTAGTCCCATTTCATTTTGTGGAAAATGTTTACATAAAATAGATTGATATATTTAACATCCACCAGGAGCAACAGGGGATTACTCAATATCTCTTACTATTCTGATGCTTCTTGAGATATATAAAGCAAGCACCATCCTTGCCCTTCATAAATTCATGGTCTAATGGAGGGGGAGACAGGCCCACAAATATAAATGTAATTCAAAATATCCCTCACATGTAGCAGAAGCACAGATAACTGAATCTGCTTAGAGATTTATATTCCACTCTTATGTGAAAGCTGGAACTCTTGGGAAGATCAGATCGATATCCATACCCACCCCCTTTTTTTGTGGTACAAAAGGTGATTTTATTATAACATGAGGAAAGAACCCATGGGCAGAAAGCACTGCCCTAGGGTTGTGAGGGGTGACTGATTATATACTTCTGAGTTTGTGGAGGGAGGGGTGATAGAGCTAAAGTATGTTTCTGAGGTATTAAGGAATTTTGAAGCAAGGGTTTTAGGACATTGGGGCTCACTGCTGTTAAGGTTACTTATAGTCTTTAATAAAACATAAACATTAAGGCATTAAGGCGGCCTTGAGTTCTTTGACGAAGGTCATGATCTGCGTGTTTCGGATATCTATCAGTGGGCTGCAAGCCAGTCAGCTAACACTGTCTTAAATTTGTTTAGAACTTTTATTTTTCTGGGACGCCTGGGTGGCTCAGTTGGTTAAGCAGCTGCCTTCGGCTCAGGTCATGATCCCAGCGTCCTGGGATCGAGTCCTGCATCGGGCTCCTTGCTCATCGGGGAGCCTGCTTCTCCCTCTGCCTCTGCCTGCCGTTCTGTCTGTGTGTGCTTGCTCTCTCTCCCTCTCTCCCTCTCTCTCTCAAAAGAAAAAAAAAAAAAGAACTTTTATTTTTCTGTATTTGTTTTTGAAATCATCTTGTTGAAGGGCTTGGTAGTCAGGAGGATGGTATTTTAGTGTCTTCCTTGCCTCTAGCTAGTTATATGACTGTAGGAAAATCAGTAAGCTCTCTAAACTTAAATTCTTTCATTTATGACATGAGGTAACTTAAAATCTTTCTTCTACAACGTGAGGGTAATACCTTGCTGTTCCTCAAAGTTTGATTCATAATGCTCTGTTTCAGAAATACGTGGGCAACTTATTAATGCAGATTTCTGGGGTCCCAAAACAACCGAATCAGTCTTCCTGTGGTGGAGGCCCAGGAATCTGCATGGTAACAAGTTTCTCCTCAAGCTTTTGGTACTTTATAAAGATGTATTTATTTATTTTAGAGAGAGAGAATGCACACTTTTGTGCTAGTGCTTGAGTAGGGGATGAAGGGTGGGGGGTGGAGGGGCAGAGGGAGAGAATCCCCAAGCTGACTCCCCACTGAGCGCGGAGCCTGACCAATGGCTTTATTCCCTGACCCATGAGATGACCTGAGCTGAAACCAAGAGTCAGATGCTTGATTGACTGAACCACCCAGGCACTCCAAGCTTTTGATGCTTTTTATTTTTTATTATTATTTTTTTTAAGATTTTATTTATTTATTTGACAGAGAGAAATCACAAGTAGGCAGAGAGGCAGGCAGAGAGAGAGGAGGAAGCAGGCTCCCCGCTGAGCAGAAAGCCCGATGTGGGGCTTGAACCCAGGACCTGGGATCATGACCTGAGCCGAAGGCAGCGGCTCAACCCACTGAGCCACCCAGGCGCCCCCTTTTGATGCTTTTTAAAGGTTGAAAACATTGGAGGAAATGACTTGAGATTTTTTTCTAGTTTTTACATGTTGCAGTTAAGTGTCTTTGATGGAGTTGGTGATGATAAGAATAAAAGGGGGGAAAAAAGTCTGTCAAAGTAACTCAGCAAGTCTGAAAATTGACCTTGTCTCCAAAGTACTTTTAAAAAACTATGTTTCTTAATGATGACAAGTTATTATTCTAGCTAACATATATAGTGGTGGTGGTAATATATTTCATAATTTATCTTCAAAGCTAAACCTTCAGAAGGCTTTTCATCAGAGAGTCTACTTTCAGTCCCTGGACAGAAGAATGTAGACTCTTCTCCAGAAACCTCGCCTAGTGTGAGCCCCATGCCACACTCTGCCTCAATTGCCAATCTACAAACTGCTAGCAAACTTATTCTGAGTTCTAGACTGGTCTACAGCCAACCTCTTGATCTCCCAGAAGGAGTTGAAGTAATAAGAGCAACACCTTCCGCAGGTAAGGTAGCTTAAAGAGTGGGCAGTTGTAGCTCAGAGTGGCCTTCAGTGGGTAAAATGGACAAACCCTCCTGAAATATGTGTTATGTGGACAATTGTAATTTTCTAGTAATGATGTACCTGTTTAGAAACATGTCTTTATTGGAAAGTTTCCTATGATAAATGTGATCAGCCTGACAGAAAATGATATGTTTTAATGTGAAGTTTCTTGCCGCACTATGATTTCTTATAAATAGGAATAATATAATATGGCAGTACAATTGCAAAGAACAGATGTGTTCATCGGCAAATCACTGAAGTTTTTTAAGTTGAGGCAGTTCATCCACTTTGTACTAATCACATATTACCTTTATTAAATATGTTTGAGCAGGAGTTGGCAGGTACTGTGGGGAAAATATGTAAGATACAAGATTATAGTTTGGCTTGCCTGAATGGTACTGAGTTTAACAAGGCAGATAAGATCGTTGGGAGGGCAGGTGTATTTAAAATGAACAAAGAGGCAACCCATGGCATGGGATAAGATATTTGCAAATGACAGTACAGACAAAAGGTTGATATCCAGGATCTATAAAGAACCCCTCAAACTCAACACACACAAAACAGACAATCATATAAAAAAATGGGCAGAAGATATGAACAGACACTTCTCCAATGAAGACATACAAATGGCTATCAGACACATGAAAAAGTGTTCATCATCACTAGCCATCAGGGAGATTCAAATTAAAACCACATAGAGATACCACCTTACACCAGTTAGAATGGCCAAAATTAGCAAGACAGGAAACAACATGTGTTGGAGGGGATGTGGAGAAAGGGGAACCCTCTTATACTGTTGGCGGGAATGCAAGTTGGTGCAGCCACTTTGGAAAACAGTGTGGAGATTCCTCAAGAAATTAAAAATAGAGCTTTCCTATGACCCTGCAATTGCACTACTGGGTATTTACCCCAAAGATACAGGTGTAGTGAAAAGAAGGGTCATCTGTACCCCAATGTTTATAGCAGCAATGGCCATGGTCGCCAAGCTGTGGAAAGAACCAAGATGCTCTTCAATGGACGAATGGATAAGGAAGATGTGGTCCATATACACTATGGAGTATTATGCCTCCCTCAGAAGGGATGAATACCCAACTTTTGTAGCAACATGGACGGGACTGGAAGAGATTATGCTGAGTGAAATAAGTCAAGCAGAGAGAGTCAATTATCATATGGTTTCACTTATTTGTGGAGCATAACAAATAGCATGGAGGACAAGGGGAGATGGAGAGGAGAAGGGAGTTGAGGGAAATTGGAAGGGGAGGTGAACCATGAGAGACTATGGACTCTGAAAAACAATCTGAGGGTTTTGAAGGGGCGGGGGGTGGGAGGTTGGGGGAACCAGGTGGTGGGTATTAGAGAGGGCATGGATTGCATGGAGCACTGGGTGTGCTGCAAAAACAATGAATACTGTTATGCTGAAAAGAAATTTAAAAAAATGATCTGTCACTTACAGAACTATAATTAAAGAGTTCTTGGAGTAGTATTTTTGGGAAATAAAATTGGAGGTTCAAGACTGGTGAATGATTTTCAGTATGAGGCTTCTTTGATTCACCCACAAGATAGGTTTGAACTCAGAGTTGGAAAGATCACATTAATGGTTTACTCTGGGCTTTTGTGGCAGGTGCGGATCTGGGTGAGTTTTTAGTCTTTCAACATATTTGGAAAGTTTGGGATATACCCAGGTTTATCAGAATTGGTAATATAATAAATTATATTTTGCAGAAGCTTTGTACATAAGTTACTTGACAGTAACACTCCAAGGGAAGTAGTAACATGGTCCCTAATATTTAGATGGAAAATGTTCAGATGTGGAAGTGGCTTTCCCAGTGTTGCGGAGTTATTGATGGACTAGAACCTGAATCCAGGTCTTCTGACCCCAGTCCTAATCACTGTTACTCCTCACGTTATAGTTGACAGTGGATGAGTTATAGTTCATAGTTGATGAGTGGTCTTTGGCAGTCAGGAATAAATATGAGGGTTTGAATTACCCTTATTTATAATGGTGAGACCTAGTCTGTTTAGCTCTCTGAAAACATTTTGATGGTAGGGGCAGATTTAGGGTCTGGATTATTCAGGGGCAGGTTAGGGGAATTTGAATGGGAAACTATAGTGAAGACTTAAGCATCTCTGATGAAAGTCATGACAAGTGGAGACTGAAAGTCCAGTGAGGCATGTGGTGAAGGCATATGTAAGTTACAACAGGTAACAGATTTAGGGATATGGGTTGCCTTGTTTTATTGTGTTTGAGTTTTATTTTATGGAATAGTCACCTCATTTAACATTATTAATCACCTAAAAACCAACTAAGTGATTATTACTGCATATTTTGATTCCACCAATGGGCTCTTCAAAGCTTGTATAGATAATATCTTGGCCAATGGATGCTTAGTATAAAGCAGTAGTTAAGGGGGGTTTGCAGAATTATAATAAAGAAGCTTATAGTGGCTTTGGATTTAATCACATTGTAAAACTTAATTGTTAGTATTTTATTTTGTGGTTGTTATCATGACTATCTGCTTTTTCTTTTTTAAGGCCATCTGAGTTCTTCTTCAATTTATCCGGTGTGCCTTGCCCCTTATTTAGTGGTTACAACTTGTTCTGACAATAAAGTACGCTTCTGGAAGTGTAGTATGGAAACCAACCCTCAGTGCCAAAGCGATGAGAAGGAAACTTACCATTGGAGGAGATGGCCCTTGATGAATGATGAAGGAGAAGATAACAGCAGTACAGTGAGCATTGTGGGAAGACCAGTTGCTGTTAGTTGTTCATACACAGGCCGCCTTGCCGTGGCTTACAAACAACCTGTCCACCACAATGGTTTTGTTTCTAAAGAATTTTCCATGCATGTTTGCATCTTTGAATGTGAATCTACGGGAGGATCAGAATGGGTTTTAGAGCAAACAATTCATCTTGATGATTTGGTCAAGGTTGGCAGTGTACTTGATTCGAGGGTCAGTGTTGACAGTAATCTGTTTGTGTATAGCAAATCAGATGCGCTTTTGAGCAAAGATAGATACCTTATTCCAAATATCAAACATTTAGTACATTTGGACTGGGTTTCAAAAGAAGATGGTTCCCACATTCTCACAGTGGGGGTTGGTGCTAATATCTTCATGTATGGACGACTCTCAGGAATTGTGACTGAGCAAATCAATAGTAAGGATGGAGTGGCTGTCATTACTTTACCACTAGGTGGTAGTATCAAGCAAGGAGTTAGGTCAAGATGGGTTCTTCTTCGTTCTATAGACTTGGTGTCCTCTGTGGATGGTACACCTTCGCTGCCTGTTTCTCTCTCCTGGGTGAGAGACGGGATATTGGTGGTGGGCATGGATTGTGAAATGCACGTGTATGCACAATGGAAGCATGCGGTCAAATTTGGAGACATTGAAGTGGATAGTCCTGATGCAGAAGAGACAGCAACACAAGATCATTCTGCCTTTAAATCTAATATGTTGTCAAGAAAAAGTATTGTTGAAGGCACAGCTGTTGCTGATGATGTGTTTTGCTCACCAACTGTGGTTCAGGATGGCGGCTTATTTGAGGCCGCACATGTACTTTCCCCTACTCTCCCTCAATATCATCCAACTCAGCTGTTAGAATTGATGGATTTAGGGAAAGTTCGAAGGGCTAAAGCTATTCTCTCTCATTTAGTGAAATGCATTGCAGGTGAAGTTGCAATAGTTAGAGATGCTGATGCTGGAGAAGGGACTAAGCGACATCTTTCCCGAACCATTAGTGTAAGTGGCAGTACGGCGAAGGATACAGTCACCATAGGAAAGGATGGCACTCGAGATTATACCGAAATAGATTCTATTCCTCCACTGCCATTATATGCACTGCTTGCTGCGGATCAGGATACAACCTACAGAATTTCAGAAGAGAGTACGAAAATACCCCAGAACTTTGAAGATCATACCAAAAGTGAACCAGAAGATCAGTATTCAGAGCTGTTCCAAATCCAGGATATAACCACAGATGATATAGATTTAGAGCCAGAACAGAGAGAAAACAAATCGAAAGTAATAAATCTTTCTCAGTATGGACCTGTTTACTTTGGCCAGGAACACGCTAGGGTACTTTCAAGTCACCTTATGCACTCGAGTCTACCAGGCCTTACCCGTTTGGAGCAGATGTTCCTCGTGGCTTTGGCTGATACGGTGGCCACCACCAGCACAGAGCTTGACGAAAACAGAGATAAGAGTTACTCAGGTAAATATTCCCACTGAAATTTACAAGGTTACCATGCATAGAACCATTTGTATAATGTATGCAATGACTCACATATTAAGTTGCAGTCTTTCTTGAAACCTTGCAGTGAAAAGAACTCTGTAGTAGACAATTACTGTTTGTAGACAATTAGAATCATAATATGATTAATTGTGAAAGAAAAGACTGTTGGGATAGGCTATGACTTGCACATATGACGTCATGGATTTGTGATATCTGTGTGCATTCTCGCATGAGTTTTTACACTGAAATCTTTGTGTCACTTTAGATCTATGTAGTCTTGTTTTTTCAAACATAGTGACTCCTATGGCTTATTTTAGTTTTTATTTTAATTTTAGTAATAATAGTGGCCCACTTGATAATTTTACTACTGAACCATGAGGCTTATAGGGACCTCATGATCTCAACTTGTTCATCTTTCCACTTCTAGATATAAATTTTTTTTTACAATTACCTAATTTTCTCTGAAACGTCTCTTGAGGAAGAGTTTTTATTTTTTATTTTTTTTAAAAGATTTTATTTATTTGCTTGACAGATAGAGATCACAAGTAGGCAGAGAGGCAGGCAGAGAGAGAGAGGAGAAAGCAGGCTCCCCACGGAGCAGAGAGCCTGATGTGCGGCTGGATCCCAGGACCCTGGGATCATGACCTGAGCCGAAGGCAGAGGCTTTAACCCACTGAGCCACCCAGGTGCCCCGAGGAAGAGGTTTTAATACATTTACTATAATGTGTGTCTTGATTAATTTGCTCTATAACCAGAACATTTTTGGCTGTCTCCTGAAACTAGATTCCATTCTCTTTTATGCAGATAGTTGAAGGTAATGGTGTTGCTTGTAAATGATGGCATTAGCCAAGGAAACTGAAAATTATTGATCATTCATTCATTCAGTAAATATTGTGGAGGAGTGAACAGTTGCTATATGCCAGGCACTTTATGTACTTTATCATACTTAATTGTCACAACAATCTAGGTAGGTAGCTGTTATTATACTAAATTTTATAGATGAAGACACTGATCCTTAGGGAGATTAAGTGACATACAAAGTCATGCAGGTAGTAAGTGGCAGAGCTGGGGTTCCTATGTGGATACCTCATTGCCTCCCAGCTCATACTCTTACTATTTCACAAGATTTCTAAATTTGAGGGAAAAAGACTGTTCCTCAAAGCTAGCTGGAATGTATCTCTTCATATAGATTTATATCCTTATAATATATCCCCCAAATTTTCTCTTTGTAGATTAAAATAATAACTAGAGACTTCAGAAGCTTTTGCCTGTGACCTGTTTTCCAAACATGTTAATTAAAACAAATCTCAATGATTATGATTGGCAGGGCAGTATCAAAATGGCTCATCTTGGTCACGGTGCCCTTTCATGAGGTGGCTAAGGCAGGAATTAATGTCTCCACTTCACAGGTGGGAAACTGAAGCTCCGAGTTTAAGTATGTTGCACGTCTCAGTCAGTGGATTCTAAGTAAATGAATTCTTCCCAGTGGAATTAAAGGCATTCCTGACTCTGCTTTCTCTTGCACCCCATATTCCAGTCTTTGGACACATGCTACCAGTTCTCCCATATCCAGGTCCAGTCATTTCTCACCACTCCTCCTATGGCCATTCGAGTCAGGTCACTGTCCCCTCCTGCCTGGTTATAGACAAATCTCCAACACTGCTTAGTTCTTGTTACCTCAGTCTGTTCTCCCGCCTACACCAGTGGCTTGCTACTCACTTTAGAGTAGAGCCAGACCCCTACGGAGTCCACAAGGCCCCATGTGATCTCCGTTCATTTTCACTGATCTCCTTGTGTCCCAGAAAGACCCTAGACACATTCCTGTCTCAAGGTCTTCACACATTTTGTTTCCTCTGTGTGGAATGTTCGTTTTTCCAAATTTATGCCCGGCATAATTTGAGAATTTAAAACATTTTATTTTCTTCTAGAAAATATTATTTGATTTAACACTCTTAGTACTTCCTAAGTGGCAGTTACTGTGCTGGGTGCTGTTCAGACTTTTGGATTGCTTTCCTCCAACAGTGGCTATAATTTTAATTAAACTCACCACACTTTATATCTTTGCACAACTTTTAAATAAGAGTGAGTTTGTGAAATTAGGTTAAGGTTGAACCTTAGCTTTGTAAAACTGGCCTAGGGAATCGGATTTTAAATCTTTCATAGTACTGTATATCAGTTGAGCCAACCAGACTAGAAAATTTTATCTTTTTTTATTAATAATGATAATAAACGAGTGATTTCATTTTATATATGTAATTCCTGTGTTTTAAATCTCTATCTGACTTCACATAGGAAATGCTTCTTAAGATGGTACCTAGCTTACTATAGTTAATATATTTTTTATGGGATTTCAAGATTTCATTTATTATGAGTAGCTGTAAGTACTGTTTTCCTGTATATTTTCCTCATTTTTCATTTGGGAGTTTGAGTATTTACAAATATTTTTTGTGAAGACTTTTTTTTATAAAGATATTCAAGTGTTGACAAAGGAATACACTCAAATATATATTTTGTGAAAATTGTTATTGTTGAATTTAATGCTTATTTCCTAAATTTTTATTGGTTTGTGACCTTTTTCCTGAAACATATTTTCTGTTTGCTTTGCAGGAAGAGACACACTAGACGAGTGTGGTTTGAGATACTTATTGGCTATGCGTTTGCACACATGCCTTTTGACATCGCTGCCTCCTTTATACCGAGTACAGCTACTTCATCAAGGTATTTAACTCCTTGTTTGAAACTTTGCAAGACTTTTATTTCATATTGAAATGAAATATTTGTATGTATATTTGGGTAGAAGAATTAGCTAAGTCATTACATGCATTCTTATCATTAGCCTTAAGACCTTCCTGTCACATGGTGCCCACTGACCCTTCTTCTGTGCCTCTTTCAGCTCTATTCTGTGACTTTGGCTCTTCTATCTCAGTTTCTCAGACTTTACTCACTAAAGTTGCAGTAGTTTAGGAGTAAACCTGGTATGCCAAAGGCTGTAAAAGTGGCCCTGAATTTCTTTGACATCTGATATCTTTTGTTAAAAAATTATGTGAATTTTGCCCTATGTTTTATTATTTTTGTTTATTTTAATGTAAGCATTATGTTATAAGTTCTGTACTCACAAGTAAAGCTGATGTTTCGGGAATATGTGCCAGATAGTAATCCAGTAGATTTGCATACTTGTAGCATACTGCCACACACGCTGATTTGAGGTGTAAGGATTTATGTCAGGAACCTAATTTACAGATTAAAAAACTGAAACTAGGGACGCCTGGGTGGCTCAGTTGGTTAAGTGCTGGTTTTTACTCAGGTCATGATCCCAGAGTCCTGGGATCAAGCCCCGCATCATCAGGCTCCCTGCTCTGTGGGGAGCCTACTTATCCCTCTGCCTCTTCCTGCCTCCCTGTCTCTTTCTCTCTTGCTGTCTATTGTGAATAAATAAATAAAATCTTTAAAAAAATAAAATAGTAAAAAACTGAAACTATAAAGTGACCTGCCCAAGATATAGGGCTATTTATTAATAGACGTTGGCATTAGAATCCCAGTCCAGTGCAGTCTTCATTAGACTGTGTTCCTTTTGAAACCAGCCTCCTGGACACAGCCCCATAAATAATGCTTTAGTATTGTAGGAACTAGAATACCAGGCTTTATAATTTGTTGTTCTTACCCATAGCACTTACCCTTCACCCTCATAAATGTTCTTTGAAAATATAATTCTAAACAGCTGTCTGATATTCTGTCATGTTTCTAAACTATGTTTCATCTATCTAGTCCTTCATTTGTGAAACAGATTTGACTGGTTTTCTATTTGAATGATCACTGTAATGAATGACCTTATAACTCTGCATACAAATATTCATGTATATATCTGATTATTTCCTCATGTGACTTTTCTAACAGTGGAATTAATGAGTCAGAGGGCTGAAAGTTCTTATTAACTTTTTTTTTTTGAGGTAGTTGTTTGTTTTTATTTTTAATGTTTCAGTCAACACTTTGTTGCCAGATCGATATTCTAAATTCTGAACATAACTGTATCTTAGTATTTTTTATTCAAGTATAATTAATATACAGTGTAGTTTCAAGTGTACAATACAATGAATTGTCAGTTCTGTACATTTTTCAGTGCTCATCAAGATAAATGTACTCTTAATCCCTGTCTTGTTTCTCCCATCTGCCCATCCACCTCCCCTCCAGCAACCACCAGTTTGCTATATTTAAGAGTGATATTTCTTAAGGTTTGATGAGTTATTGCCCCAGACAGAAACACTGTACTCATTTACATTCCTGGAAACAGTGTTCGATGGTTCCAAAACTTAACCCATTGTGGACTTGATATTACCATTTTAAACAATCTGTGCCATTTGGTTAGGTTTAAAAAAATGGTATCTAGTAGGTTCTTTTACACTTTAGTTTTAAATAATAGATGGTACTGAATCACTTAATGACAATTGTGGAATTGAAAATTCCATTTTCCCTTTGATACAGTTAAAACACTGGACATAAGTGACTGCTATTATAAATGATGATCTTAGGAAGAGTTTTCAGGGGAAAAGTTCAGTAGATGGGATACAGATAGAAAGGCTAAGAAGAACAGAGGAAAACTACGAAGAATAGCCTGTTACTGGTAAGCAAAAAATAAATAAGTAAATAACTATTTGTTGGTGCCCCTGTTCTTTTTCTTCTTCTTCTTCTTTTTTTTTTTTGAAGATTTTATTTATTCATTTGACAGAGATCACAAGTAGGCAGAGAGGCGGGAGAGAGAGAGGGGGGGAAGCAGGCTCCCTGCTTGAGCAGGGAGCCCAGTGTGGGGGCTCGATCCCAAGACCGAGATCATGACCTGAGCTGAAGGCGAGAGGCTTAACCCATTGAGCCACCCAGGTGCCCCGTTCTTTTTTTCCTTAAAATAAAAAAAAAAAAAAAAATATATATATATATATATATATATATATATATATATATATATATATATACATATATATACATACATACATACACACACACACACATATATTTTGGTACTAAGCTATGGAGCAGGTCACCTTAAACTCTGTAGTTATGATTTTTTAATCTGTAAAATAGGGGGCTGATATAAATCCTTGTATCTCAAATCAGGGTGTGTGGCAGTACGCTACAAGTATGCAAATCTACTGGATTATCTGGCACATATTCCCGAAACATCAGCTTTACTTGTGAGTATATGACTTACAATGCAATGCTTATATTAAAATAAACATAAATAGTTAGGCTTCCAAATACATTCACTTCTGAACCTAATTCCCCTGACATACCTGTTTATTTTCTGTTTCTGCTTAATCATACCAAAAATTTAATTAATCACATTTCATTTAAGGATACAGAATGTAATATATTTTATATTATTCTTTATATTATAAATGTGCCTTTAGCAAAGGTATACTGTGTGCATTGCTATGTAATAGCAACTTCTAAAGCAAAGTGTCCGTTATTTGATGTAGTGATTATTTCTTAAGTCAGGCAAAGATTTAAAAATTAATCTGCCTTTTAGGTTATGAAAAACTACAAATTGGTGTTAGTAAATTTTGACCATTTTCCCTTAAATTTATGGTGGCAATCAAGGCTTGTTGCACTGATTTTTTTTTTTTTTAATGCTCTGATTTCAGGCACAGTTGTATAGAAATGTTAGCAATGGGAAATTTAAAAAACTTAAGATTATTATTCAAAATGGTCATAATAGTTTTTCCTTTTATACCTTCTAAAGGAACTGTTGTGAAGCAGTAGTGATTAGAAAATCTTTAAACTATATTGGAAGTCTATATAGTAGTTGTTAATGAAAAAATTACATTTGGTAACACTGATGGTCGTCTAGCATTGAGAAGCCTGTGCTGTAATCATTGACTCCAGACATGAGGTCCAAAATGGGTCCATACAGATGGCTACTTTGAACAGTCTTGCCTCTTTTCTAGTCTCCTCTGGGTACTTCCTGGCATTCCCACTATCTGTCGTCAATTTGTGTGTCTCATTTCCCTTGTGTTTCCTCTCCATCTGCTCTAAGTGGAACAAAGTGTTATCAGTAGTTAAATTGTCGATAAACTCCCTTGTACTTCCAAGTCTGATGGGGTTGCCTCTAAATACAACCTAGATTCCTGTCAGTCTTCTACCAGGACCAAAAGAATTTGCCATATACCATCAGTATCAGGCAGCTTTAAACTACTTTTAACCAAGATGCCAAAGTCCAAGGAATGTTGTCTCCTGACTGTTGTTATTCCCTGCAACTGTCTTGAAGGTTAGACCTTACTGTGAAATGATATTTAGCTTCTTGGCCAGAGGGATGAATGGGGCAGTTTTCACTATTCAGTGCTGGAGGATATGGTCTGCATTGCTGTGAAAAAATACCCAAGGACACAGGCCAAGATATTTTGACTTGACCAGAGCTTTCACTGTTGATAAGTTTGGTGTGTGTACGTATAAATGACTCGATGTTCAAATATCTTTCCTGTGATTAAGTTTTAGTGTCTCTATTTTTGCAGAGAAAGAAAGTAAATACTTTGGAAAAAAGAGATTTTTTTGTTTTGTGTGTTCTGCTGTTGCTCTTGTATTTAGAAGCTTATAGTGTAAAGTCCTTGAATGATGACTTTCTTTTGCTCTTTTTTTTCTGCTTGAAAATTCTTTCCAGAATGAAAGAATAAATACATGACAATGTGAAAAATTGTTTTGTTCTTTTTTGGTAGAGTTCTGAAAAGGTTATTATTTTGTATTTCTAATTTAGGTGTGTCTACCTGCCATTTTGCCTGGGCTTTTCATTCTGAGGCTGAAGAAGAACTGATAAATATGATTCCGGCAATTCAGAGAGGGGACCCTCAGTGGTCTGAGTTAAGAGCTATGGGAATAGGTTGGTGGGTCAGGAATATTAACACTCTTCGAAGATGCATTGAAAAGGTAACTTTACGTCATTGGAAGCTCAAGTTAAAAAAAAATCTTTAAAGGACAAAAGATATTATCTTCCAGAAAATATGTAGTGGGGAATTAGTTTGCACATCTTGAGATCTTGAGAATTTCTTAAATAATAATATTTGGAGATTCCCAAAACTTGACCTTTATAAAATGCCTGTGTAGTATATCAATTGCCTTTTGCCATATATACTGAGTTTATAATATTTGTGGAGTTGCATATTTTTTTGCTATCAGTTGAAGTGTGTCAACTAGTTGGAGAAAATTCAAAAATCTTTTTTTTTTTTAAAATAACTTGAAGTTTGCAGTGGATGTGAAAAGTACAGCCCAGGGAATATAGTCAGTAAGATTATAATAGCATTGTATTGTGACAGATGGTGACTGCATTTACTGTGGTGAGCATTGTATAGTGTATAGTATTGTCAAATCACTGTTATACACCTGAAACTGCTTTAACACTGTATGTTGATTGTATTTCAATAACAATATTTACAAAAGAAAATAAAAAAATCTAAATTTAGTAAACAGACTTCAGTTCTTATCAGATAGGTACATTATAGATACAAAAATTATTTTTTATATAAAGGATTCTCTGTATGGCTAGGTTAATAAATAGCAAACTTCCTCTGTACACTTAAAATACCATTCAATAAAAGGTTTTGATTTGTGTGCACTTGAAGAATATATCTATGGCAGCAAATTAAACATGCTGTAAAATTTTTTATGACAGGCTTTCGGAATCTGTTTTCTGGTAGATTCCCTTTAGAAAAAATTTGTTCAATAATTTGTTAGTGGAGGCTGAAAATTCCTTCAGTGTTGCAGAATCAAACCGTTATTGAGCACCTACTGTGTACCAGGTTGGTGCTAGTTGCTCTTCACAACTTATTTCATATAATCATCTTACTGGCCATGCGTGGCCATCTCCATTTCCATCTGATGGACTAGGGCTAGAGAGGTGAGGTAACCCACCCAAGCTCCTGGCATTTGTAAGTGTTAGACTGAGTCTGTGCCTGTTCTACTCTACTGGGGTTAGAAAGGTGGAATTCTCATTATTTACTTGTAGGAGCTCATCAAAATTCCCAGAAGTACAATTAATGATACTATATTTGTGAAGTACAGATTTATTTCTCCCAAGAGAAATTCATTCCTCTACAGTAGTAGTCATCAGATTTTATTGTCAGAAGAATCAGCTGGCAAACTCACTTAAAATGCATATCCTCCAGGCCAATTTTAGTTTGGTAGGTTGAGTGTAGCTAGGGATGTGCGGTCTTCATCTCAGCATCCTGAGATTCTGGTGTTCATTGTGGCCCTCGGATCGGTTTGAAATGTGAGCACAGAAGTGTCATTTTCCTGTTACATGCAAAGTTGCCAATAAGATAATCAGTGTTTCTCTCCTCAAAATAGGCACAAATGTAAGAAGGAATTTATTCTCATACCAACTTCTGGTGTATAGGGAAAGTTAATTGTTACAGCATGTAAATGACACAGTATCTACATTAAATTTTTTATATTCTGAAACAATGGAAAAAAGAGGACGTATTTTCTCTGAAATGTTTCAGATTTTGGCTACAAAGATCTCCTTAATTTCTTGTCAGCAATCAGTTGTGTCATATAATTATTTCTGATATGTACATAGGATTTAATTCCACAAGAAAAGTATCTCTTGAAATTGCATCAAAGGGATACATAAATTTTTTGCCTTGAGATATATATTATAAATCCTTAGTGAAACATGAATAAAAATTTCTCTAAAAATTATTAAACATCAAAATACTAAGTTAAATAATTGAAGACAGAGAAAATATTAAAAAAGAAGAGAAATAAACAGGTATTGAGAATACAGCATTTTCATTTTGCAGTTTCCCCGTCTCCCATTCCTTGGTAGTTTTCTGCTTCACCATTAGTCACTGTGAACTAATAAAACAAGTGTTGTTTTTTATTCTTATATCTCAGCATAGTGATTTGTAGAAGTTATCTAAGTGTCCTTGAAAAATTAAGATACTGTCTGTATGATAATTGTGTTCAAAACAGTATAATTATGTATAATAATGTTATTGGCTTAATTTTTAAGCTTAACACTGAGTTGATTGGTTCTGTATGAATTCAGCAACTTTGGCTATAAGCTCTGAGGAGATTAATGAATCATGTGTTCATTAAGACTCTTTGTCATGGAATTTCTAAGAATTGAAATTTGTAAGCTCTTGAAAATAACGGAGCTTCAACCTTCTGTGTTAATTACATGCCAGAAAGAAGGTGTCAATCTTTAGAATAGTCAAAATTTGATTGGAAAAATACCAGAAAAGAATGTTTCTTTAAAAAGTATGTTTACAAAAAACACTGGAACACTCACTTATTTTTGTCTATAGTTGTTTATGTGTGTGTATATAATTGATATTTATTCACAGATGTCTGTATCAGTATGAGTTGAGAGAGCTTTAAACTGTGAAATCAAATTGACTATGGAAGTTAGCATTTTAGCTTTTACAAAACATTAAGAAATGTAACATTTAATTTTCAAGAAAAAGATCACATCTGTTGAATATTCTGCCTTTTTTTTTGATTCATGTGGTAGACAGTTTTATTACTACCTGGGTTCTAATACCTTTTCCACTCCTTAATGTGTGACCTTAGGCAGTTCACTTAACCTCTCTGTGTCTCCGTTGCTGCCTTTGTAAAATGGGGATAATCCTCATGGATTGTGGTAATTTAATAAGATAAATAAATGGCCTTAGACTGGTGCCTGGTACATGGAAGTAATTAGTAAATTGCTAGTTGCTATTATTATTTTTATTATAATTACTGGCATACAAATAGTTGTCTCTCAGAGCTACTGGAGATTGTGGAATAGAGCCAACTTTTCTCATCTCCATGGTTACTATCAGCGATGTAAGAGCAGGGAAGCATTAATTGTTGGTTAATTGGTTGTAATTCTTTTATCAAATAGTTAATTTAATAGATTGTTTTATTTACCATTTAGGTTGCCAAAGCTTCTTTCCAGAGGAACAATGATGCCTTGGACGCTGCGCTGTTCTACCTTTCCATGAAGAAGAAAGCAGTAGTGTGGGGTCTGTTTAGGTAAGTTCCCTCAACAATGAACATGATTGACTGGGATGAAGATTGTGCTGCAGATATTCTGATGCTTTTGAAAGTACTTAGATACGTGAGTGTGATCAGATCAGCTTACTTTTCTGTATCCTGGTTCCTTTATCTGCAAAAAATGGGTATAATATTGGTTCAGCGTAACCTAAAGGGTGGGATGTTGTTAAAAAAAAAAAGTTGATAGAAGCACTTTGAAAAGTAAACAGTGTGTCCTGTTTATGTATATGCAAGGAGTTTGAGCTTTCCTTACCACAAGTGAAGAGAAGCTTGGTAAGAGATACCTATTACTGAAATTATTTTAGATGGGTGTTTGAGGTTATTTTCACATGTTCTGCAAAGGATTCAAAATATTTTAGATTTCCCTTAGCCACTGATACTTGTGTTCTTCTTTCCAGATCACAGCATGATGAAAAGATGACAACATTTTTTAGCCACAACTTTAATGAAGATAGGTGGCGTAAAGCTGCTTTGAAAAATGCTTTCTCTTTACTTGGAAAACAACGCTTTGAACAATCTGCTGCTTTTTTCTTGTTAGCTGGTTCATTGAAAGATGCCATAGAGGTATAAATAAGAAAACATGCTGTGAGATACTTGTAGGAGATTGAAAATCTGAAGACGTTATAGAGTAGACTGATTTTCTTTCTTTCTTTCTTTCTTTCTTTTTTTTTTTTTTTAGTTTGTAATACTGAAATTTATTTCACTAATTGAATTATAAATTAAATTTTTTAAAAGATTTTATTTCTTTACTTGACAGATCACAAGTAGACAGGCAGGCAGAGAAAGAGGAAGAAGCAGGCTCCCCACTGAGCAGAGAGCCCGATGTAGGGCTTGATCCCAGGACCCTGGGATCATGACCTGAGCCAAAGGCAGAGGCTTAACACACTGAGCCACCCAAGCACCCCTAAATTAAATTTTTTTAAATCCGAAAACTTGTGTGTAATAAATTATATTACAGATTTGTAAAGCTCATTATAATGTAATTCTACATACTGAATTGCCTTTTTGTTTTTAAAAGATTTTATTTATTTATTTTGAGAGAGAGAGCGAGTAAGAGAGAACATGAAAGGGTAGAAGGTCAGAGGAAGAAGCAGACTCCCTGTGGAGCTGGGAGCCTGATGTGGGACTCCATCCTGGGACTCCAGGATCATGACGTGAGCCAAAGGCAGTCGCTTACCCAACTGAGCCACCCAGGCGCCCTGAATTGCCTTTTTAAAAAAAAAAATTATGTTCAGTTGGATTGTAATTTTCTGTCTTATGTTTGTAAAGACAGAGAATACAGAGAACTGAAATAGTGGTGTAGTGATAAACGGAATTATAAATCAATTCAGGTGTGAAACATAAACCAGAAATTTTTATATAGAGAATATTACATTTCAAATATATATATATATATATAAAATGACTAATGAATATTTTCTTCCTAGCCATCTTACGATTGTGAACTATTTGAAGTATGTGTAGGTCACAGCCTCCTTCTCTGGGGTAGATAGGAAGCTACTTTAAGTTCTTTTTTTTCCTAAATGAAATTCATAGATAAGGAACTGAAATTGCTATTCATATTGTTTTGTAATATAGTTGTCTTAGTTATAGAAAAATGAATGAAGAGGTAAAACTGTATTTTTTGATACATATACCTGGCAGTTGATTATGAGAGAAGTTATAGGGGCACCTGGGTGGCCCAGCTGGTTGAGCATCTGGCTCTTGATTTAGGTTCCGGTCATGATCTCAGGGTCCTGAGATCGAGCCCCACATCAGGCTCCATGATCAGTTGACAGTCAGCTTGAGATTGTCCTCCCTCTAACCCTCCTCCCCCTTTCCCCGCTCGCTTATTCTTGCTCATAAATAAATAAATCTTTAAAAAAGAGAAATTATGAATGTTACTGTTTATTTATGAGATCTTCCCACTAAGATACTTACTGTCATTATGAACAATCCATACCAGTGAGGGAAAAATAGAAATAATTGGAAGTAATACATAATAGAAGAAAAAGGAAATACCCAACAAAAAGAAATTCTCTACATTTAGAATTAGTCACATTTTCAAAAATTATCTCTGGTGTATGATTTTTTTAAAATAACGAATATTTATGATTTTGAAATAGGAAGTTTCAGGTAATCAGGAGAAGGAGTTGATTGAGAGATACTTTTATTGCCTGAATGACCTCAAATTTTCTATATGAGTAATTACATTAGAATATAAATTAGAGTAAAAATAGAATTATGACTTTATTTCATATGTTATTTGTTACTTAATTAGAAGGTTTTTTAAAAATAGTAATAGTTATGTTTATGCGGACATGTATTTGGGAATTAAGAGGAACTGATATATGTAAATTCAAATGTCATAAGTATATTTAATTTTAAATTAGTATTATTAATTTAAATTGACGTAAGTCTGAGGTGATCTTGATATTTGTCTTATGCTTATTTTATAAATGATCTTTCTAGGCCAGAAACTGCTAAGTTCTAGCTTCTTATTCTTTTTTATAGCTATTCTTTAATCTATCAGGTAGTCATTTGCTTGAATTACTGTCTCAACCTCTGTACCCCTCCCACAACTATAAGAATATAAATGGTAGATTTCAGGATATCAGTGGAATATTCCATATCACTAAGTAATTGTCATTAAATAAGTATTTCTTAATATTTGAATTTACAGGTATGTCTTGAAAAAATGGAAGATATTCAGCTAGCCATGGTTATTGCCCGTTTGTATGAATCCGAATTTGAGACGTCATCCACTTATATATCCATCCTAAATCAGAAGATTCTGGGTTGCCAAAAGGATGGCTCAGGATTCGATTGCAAAAGATTACATCCTGATCCTTTCCTGCGTAGTCTTGCCTATTGGGTAATGAAAGATTATACCCGAGCTTTGGACACATTATTGGAGCAGACCCCAAAGGAGGATGATGAACATCAAGGTAGGACATTTCTGGGTTTCTCTTTTTTTTTTAGGATATTATTTTTAAGTAATTTCTACACCCAGGGTGGGGTTCACACATATGAAAAGAGTCATATGCTACCAGCTGAGCCGGCCAAGTGCCCCTCTTTTTCTTTTTTAAAAGAAGGCTGTTTCTGAACTTTAATGTTTATTTAGGAAAAAAATACAAAACAAAAACCAATTATATTGAACTGAAGCATACATGATGTTTACATATTGTATCGTTCTTTCCATATAATCATCTAGCTGGTGGTGTTTTGTTTCTTAAGTAGAAATTTTGGCTGTTGCACGCACTGGTTTAGTGCATGGACCTTTATTCTTGTGTGATAAGCTTTCTTTACTTCTAGTTCTCCCAAATAATTTGGATTTTTTTGAAGCATCTGGAAGGCATTTATTAGCACTCTTTGCAATAATTTTTTAAAAATGGAACATTCTAAGTGTCAATAGGATAGTTAAATGAATTATAGTATATCCATACTACAGAAATAACGTGCCATTAGAAATGAGGCAGATTGATGTGTTAATATGTGCTGTAGTAGTTAGTGAAACAAGTGAGATGCAGAGTGGAGTAATTCTTGTTGCATTTTATTTACATATGCATGTCGCAATCGTGTGTGTGTTTACCTACTGGGTCTAGTCTCCTTCTTCCTCTCCCTTTGTTGTTTTCTGGAATAAATCAAAAGAAACTGAATACAGGGGTGCCTGGGTTGCTCAGTCAGTTAAGTGCTCAGATCATGACCTCAGGGTTGTGGGATCCAACCCCGTTCTGGGCTCAGTGCTGCTTAAGAACCTGCTTAAGATTCTCTGTCTCTCCCCCGCCCCCTCCTGACTCATGCTCATTCTTGCTCCCTCTTAAAAAAAAAAATAAAATAAAATAAAAAAGAAACTGAATACTGGTTACTGGTTACCTTTGGAGAATAGTGTGGGGAGATTCAAGCTTTTACTTTGCATTTTCCTTGCATACAAGCAAAATGCATACAAGCATTTTCCTTGCTGAGTTATAACTGAATGATGAGTATTAGTACTTGGAGGGCACTTGTGATAAGCACTGGGTGTTACATATAAGTGATGAATCACTGAATTCTACTCCTGAAACCAGTATTACCCTATATGTTAACTAGAATTTAAATAAAAACTTGAAAAAAAAATTTTTGTTATAAAAAAACCTACATGGATAAAGAGATTAGGGACCCATTTTTACTTTCTTCTTTATAAAGAAGAAATATTTTATTTTTATTTTTATTTTTTTTTTAGATTTTATTTATTTGTCAGAGAGAGAGGGAGAGAGAGCAAGCACAGGCAGACAGAATGGCAGGCAGAGGCAGAGGGAGAAGCAGGCTCCCTGATGAGCAAGGAGCCCGATGTGGGACTCAATCCCAGGACGCTAGGATCATGACCTGAGCCGAAGGCAGCTGCTTAACCAACTGAGCCACCCAGGCGTCCCAAGAAGAAATATTTTAATATATAGTATTAAAAATTTTAGAGGAAAGGATATTAAACCTTTAGAAGAAAAATAAGTATCTGAGTTTCCTGGGTAATTTTAATAAAATGTGCACATTTTTATAGAAGGTTCTTTTTATTTCTGCTTTCTAGGTTAATTTTTTAAAAACTTGTTATTGTGGAAACTGCAAATATATGTAAAAGAGTGAATAATAGATACTGAAAGTCTGTGAATCCATCACCCAACTTCAGTAGCTATCAACTTAGACCGACTTTGCGTCATATACACCATCCTTTTTACCTCCTCCCATTCTCAACATAGATTTATTTTGAAGCAAATTTCAGCATATCATTTCTTTTATAAATATTTCAAAATGAATCTCTAAAAAGTAAGGACTCTTAAAACAACACATGTCACTGTAACAAAATTTGATTAGTAATCATGAAATGGGCAGTGTTCAGATTTTCCTGGTTGTCTCATAAAATCTTATACAATTAATTTGTTTGAATCAAGATTCAGATGAGGGGCACCTGGGTGGCTCAATGGGTTAAAGCCTCTGCCTTCGGTTCAGGTCATGATCCCAGGGTCCTGGGATCGAGCCCCACATCGGGCTCTCTGCTTAGCAGGGAGCCTGCTTCCTCCTCTCTCTCTTTCTCTGCCTGCCTCTCTGTCTACTTGTGATCTCTGTCTGTCAAATAAATAAATAAATAATCTTAAAAAAAAAAAAGATTCAGATGAAGCATATATGTTACAATGGGTTGAGGTGCCTCTTTGATCTATTTTGTTTTATTTTCTTTTAAAATTGTATTGATTATTATTTGAGTGAGAGCACAAGCGGGAGGGGGTGTGGTAGAGGGAGAAATAGACTCCCTGCTGAACAGGGAGCCCCGCACGGGACTCAATCCCAGGATCATGACCTGAGCTGAAAGTAGATGCTTAACCGATGGAGCCACCCAGGTGCCCTCTTTTGTCTACTTTAATCTACAGTTTTTCCTTCTTCCTTTTTCTTGTTCCTTGTAATACTTTTGTTAAAGAATGTTCACTTCACGGTTTCTCACTTTTTAGAATTTGTTGGTTTTGTCCCTTTTGTGTCACTTCATGTGTTCCCCCCATGTTCTCTATATGTCTTATAAATTGGTAATTAAGATTCTAGATGCTTTTATTAGATTTTTGGCAGAAATATTTTATGGTGGTGTGGAGTACCTCTGTCAGGGAACACATATTGTTTGCTTGTTTTGCTTTTTGTTGCATTAAGAGCCATCAGTTACCACTGCATAGATCCTTTATTTCATTAATGTTTATAAAATGATGATACTCTTCCTTTATGAGTTGGAATACTTCTCTAGAAGTACAGTCTCCCTTAGCTCTTAGATTACTCTAAAATCCAGTAGTATACGTAGTGAAGGAAACATCAGTGTTTGATTCTTTCACTTTATCAGTTTTCAAAATAATAATTTGGTTCACTAATATACTACAAAGGCAACTAATTAGCTTTTATATTTATTTGAGTTATTTGAACTCACAGATTTAGATAGATTTGTGTTTGACTCCATTGTGGTTTATTATTGTGGATGCTCAGATTATCTCACTTTTAACCAGTGGGAACCTCTACAAGTTCTTGAATCCTTTTGATGTTATTCTTTGATAGTTTCTTTGCTTTCTGTTAGGGCATGCTGTTTTAGGCTCCTCTTGTACATCTCATGCCCCAGGCCTGGAAATGGCCATTCTCTCTAAGAATCCTTGTTCCTTTGAATGGGGAATAATAGAGACTACATCCTGGGCATACAGATCCTCATTTGCCGTCGGTTTGGTCATTGTGTCTAGGCTGTTTTCATGAATGGAGCCAGGATTTTTTTTTTAACCTGAGAATTTGTGAGTTCACATTGAAATTTTTATTTCAGTATAGATTAATAGATTTCTTTTTGAATTTCATATTTGTTTCTTAAAATGAAAAGCTTGAATTCTCATAGCCTTAACATGTTTGTTATTTTATATGTATATGATAGGTTCAGAATAATGATGCAAAAATTTTTCATAGCAACATGATTACTGAGGACAGGTTAAGCTGTGATTTTTGTTTTTATGGTATATCCCAGTAAGGATGTGCAGCCAGACTACTTATTCTAAAGTCACTTTGTAGTACCTCTTTGTGTGGTTATGCCACAAGCTTGACATACAGAATCACTTATTTAATTTTGCTGATACTTTTTTGTGATTTTTTTCAAATGTAATTTTTCTGTTAAAATTATATAAAATATTGGGGCACCTGGGTGGCTCAGTGGGTCAAAGCCTCTGCTTTGGCTCAGGTCATGATCCCAGGGTCCTGGGATCGAGCCCCGCATCAGTCTCTCTGCCCAGCAGGGAGCCTGCTTCCTCCTCTCTCTCTCTGCCTGCTTCTCTGTCTACTTGTGATCTCTGCCTGTCAAATAAATAAATAAAATCTTTAAAAAGAAAATTATATAAAATATTGACATGGCTTTGAAATATATAAAACCACGGTATTTTCAGAGGGATCTAGCTTCTTTCCATTCCTATTGGAATCTGATCTCTCCATTCCTATTCTTCCCTCCCTTTTTAGGGAACCAACTAAACATATTTTTGGGGGGTGTTTCTTTCCATTTAAAAAATAGAAACAATATTAAAAAAATGTAAATAATATTTAAGTATCCTTTACTGTGAGGAAATGCTGACATAGTTATTCTTTTATAATTTAAGTACAAATTAACATAATACCTTGTGATTTTATGTTTTACTTCTGTAGTTATCATCAAATCTTGTAACCCAGTGGTGTTTAGTTTCTACAACTACCTTCGAACGCATCCTTTGCTTATTCGAAGAAACCTTGCCTCCCCTGAAGGAACTTTGGCAACCTTAGGTCTCAAAACTGAAAAAAACTTCGTTGATAAAATTAACCTTATAGAAAGGAAATTATTCTTTACCACTGCCAATGCTCATTTTAAAGTTGGATGCCCTGTTCTAGCCTTGGAGGTACTTTCCAAAATTCCAAAAGTTACCAAAATATCTGCCTTACCTTTGAAAAAAGGTCAGCCTGACTTGATTCCTAAAAAGACAGATGGTGAACCTTCAGAATCAAAGACTATGAGCGATGACAGTGGGCGTTCTGGCATTGACTGGTCTGGTGTAACTTCATCACAGTTTGACTGGAGCCAGCCAATAGTAAAAGTGGATGAGGAGCCTCTTAATCTTGATTGGGGTGAAGAGCATGACAGTGCCTTAGAAGAAGAGGAAGAAGATGCTGCTGGTTTAATAATGAAAAGTGCAGATGCCAGGGAGACAGACAGACAAGATCAGAAAGCCTCAGACCCTAATGTATTACTGACTCCTCAGGAAGAGGACTGTCTGGAAGGTGATACTGAAGTTGACGTGATTGCTGAGCAATTAAAATTCAGAGCTTGTTTAAAGATCCTTATGACTGAGCTAAGAACACTGGCTACAGGTTATGAAGTAGATGGTGGAAAACTCAGATTTCAGCTCTATAACTGGCTTGAAAAGGAAATCGCTGCCTTGCATGAGATATGTAACCATGAATCAGTTATTAAAGAATATGCCAGGAAAACACATCCCAAGGTAGAGAGTGATCTTCTGGACCAGGAAGAGATGATGAACAAACCAGATATAGGTTCCTATGAGCGCCACCAAATAGAAAGACGGAGATTGCAGGCAAAACGGGAACATGCAGAAAGACGAAAGTTGTGGTTACAGAAAAACCAAGATCTCCTGAGAGTGTTTCTTAGTTACTGTAGCCTTCACGGGGCCCAGGGTGGTGGTCTGGCCTCGGTAAGGATGGAACTCAAATTTTTGCTACAAGAATCACAGCAGGTATGAACTTCACGCTTGTTTTCAATCTTGGTTATTTTAATGATTTTAATGGCTCTTTATACCAGTTACCTAAATATGTCTAGCCCCTTGGTTCGTAGGAGGAGGATGTTTCTGCTCTGCATGGGTCTGTGGAGATCAGAGCTTTAGTGATTATAAGTAGGTGTAACAGCTGAGAGCACAGCTGTGTCCTACTCATCTTTCTATCTTCTGCATCTCGCAGAGCAACTGGTACAGGTTGGGTGCTCAATAAATTTTTGTAGAATGAATGAATAAATACATACAGCTTTTATTCAGTTGTTCATCACCAATATTTTTATCATGTAACTACTAACTGATTTTTTTTCTCCATTTTAAGTGCTCTGAAAAAAAATAATCCACTGTTACCCACAGGAGACCACAGTGAAGCAACTCCAGTCTCCACTTCCGTTGCCCACCACCCTACCTCTGCTTTCAGCAAGTATTGCTTCAACAAAAACAGTCATAGCTAACCCTGTATTATACCTAAATAATCACATCCATGATATACTTTACACTATTGTTCAGATGAAAACACCACCTCATCCCAGTGTTGGAGATGTGAAGGTAATGTAAAGTTTATGATTGGTTGATACTGTATACACTGAGAAGGTAAATATGTTAAGCTTGTCTTCTGGTTTGAACTTGGAGGAAGTTTCTTAAAGTGCTCCTCATCTTCTACTACCCCAGTCCTGGGCAATGGAAGACTTTATGGAAAAGTAATTTGAGACAGGCAAATACATTTTGATTATAAAGTTTTCTAGACCATATTCTTGCCTCTTAATATTCCTTTAAATCTTCCATTTCCCTTAAATGAACCATCAATTTAGAAATGTTAATGACTGTATGCCAGGATATTATGAGAATATAAACTCAGGGAATATCTTTGGCAGAACCATGACTGATCAGAAATATCCCAGAGAAAGTATCCTCGCTACTATTTCCCTGAAGATTATGTGTGTTGGAGTCTCTGCTGTATCAGGGGCAAACAGGGGTTTGACAGACTTACTACCTGCAAATGAAACCCCATACCTTGTGCTGAAAACTCAAGAACAGCTGGATTCGAAGAAAACACTAGGAAGCTTGGGAGGATTTGGAACTGATCAGACTACCTCTGTGCTACCCTGTGTGTATTGGTGCTACGCGTTTCCAGTTCCAGTGGCTGATGTCATTTCCAGTCCCCAACATTTTTGGTTTTTACTTCTCTTGTTTAAAAGGCACGTTTGACCTCTGGTAGTGCATTCTTCTGAAGGACCCCCAATTTTTTGGTTACATCAGCCTATTAGAGACTTCTAATCCATAGCGTGAATTAATCTGTATTAGTGTTTTAGCAGAGATTACTTAAATTATTCATTAGGTGAATATGGACACTTGGAAAAGGCATTAAATGCATATACATTCTAAGTAAACATTTCCATCTCCTTGAAATTTGGATAAGGCTTTCAAAGAGGATGAAACTATTTCTAAGGTCCCATAAAATTTAAGACTTTATGAGTCTGAAAATGTTGATTCAGTATGTTTATTTTTTAGGATGTAGTTTTTATACTGATAATTTTTAAACTTTCTAAATTTAAAATTCTAAGAGTATGCACTAGTCATAAGTACTGAGTAAACTACTTGCTCTCTGAAAAATCAGCCATTTCACACAGTGATTGATATATCTAAACATTTAATTCAATCTTATTGATAAGATCAAGTATTTATTTTCATCAAGGGCAATTTTATAAGGCAGTTTAAGTAAAAGCTCAGAAAATTGTGTACTATTTTCGTTCTGCTTTTTTGGAATATTAATCTTTAAGCTAACCATTACCAGGTAGAGCAGTCCCCGTAATAGATGATTGGCACTTTGCTCAGGCTCACAGTGAGTAAATATTTGATAAAGATGTGTCTAAATCAGTTAGCTTTGTTGTGGGCATGCATATTTAGTTGGGTAAGTGTTATTTTAGAAGGTTTAAAGTAGAGTTAATAGTCTAGGATCTAGTCTTATTTATAATATTGCTAGTTTGCTGGGTATTTTCTAATAGGTAAGATATTAATGTTATATAGAAATGTCCGCATGAAACGTAATTGTGGCTGTTTGGTTTCAGGTGCACACCCTTCATTCACTAGCAGCATCACTTTCTGCATCAATTTACCAGGCATTATGTGACAGTCATAGCTACAGGTAAAAAAAAAAAAAATGCTAAGTTATTAATACAGCAAAAGCATTCAACTGTGCTAGAGTTATATCAAAGTTCTATTTCCTAGGGATGGAAAAATCCTCAAATATGACTGCCATGGGGATGGCTGGGTGGCTCAGTCAGTTGAGTGTCTGCCTTGGGCTCGGGTCATGATCTCAGGGTCCTGGGATTGAGTCCCACGTCGCGCTCCCTGCTCAGTGAAGAGCCTCCTTCTCCATCTGCCTGCTGCTCCCCCTGCTTTTGCTCTCTCTCTCTGACAAATAAATAGGTAGTTAAAAAAACAAAATATGACTGCCATGTATACTCTAATAGGTGAGAGAGAATGAGAAATAAGATAACTTTGTTTAATTTAGCTGTCACCTGGGCACCTGGGTGGCTCAGTGGGTTAAGCCTCTGCCTTCAGCTCAGGTCATGATCTCAGGGTCCTGGGATCGAGCCCCACATCGGGCTCTCTGCTCAGCGGGGAGCCTGCTTCCCCCTCCTCTTCTGCCTGCCTCTCTGCCTGCTTGTGATCTCTGTCAAATAAATAAAATCTTAAAAAAAAAATTTAGCTGTCACCTAGTAACAACAGAGGCGTATAAAAAATTACAAATAGTAAATGGCAATTATCATCATCGCTGTCTTTTTTGATTTTAAAAGAATTTTTTCTCTTCAAAATAATTTATAATATGAAGTTTTCTAATTTTTTCCCTTAAGAACCATTTCTTTTAGAATTGGATTAGCTCCTATTTGTTTAATTGGTTTTCAGTTGAAAGAGTTTTTAAAAAACTCAAAAAGTACATTTCTTACATAGAATTAATTAAAATCAGTTTTACTTACCCATTTGCATATAATATAAAAGTCTTTGGAAGTGATATTAATGAGAGTAATGGTTAAAATTTTCCTAAAGGTCATATTACCTTTATCAGTATATACTGTGCATTTTAATGATGAGGGAAATGTAAGTAGTAAGAGATTAAATGACTTGGAAGGATAACCTTGCTTTAAATAAATTATATTAAATGAAAAGTTTGTAATATAAATAGAATCACATTAAATTTATATTAAACAAAAGTCTCTATTTTTTCTTGTAAATTTAGCAGCTTTTTGTGAGAAGACTTGGTATTACAAAAGGTATTACTCCCTTAAAATGGCCTGTACTCAGCTTTTAGTCTAATGAGGACCCCTCTAAGTAACTACAAAGACTTGGATATGTAAATAAGGAAAAAAGAGTTTATTTAATTGACTATGATCATCTTAATGATCAAAAACAACTTGTTTGATATCAGTCACTGGTTAAAATGGCACCAAATGAGAATTCAAATAAATATTTTTAAAATATATATTTTCTCATCTTTAGGCTATGATTGACTCTTAAAGGAGTTAGCTTTACTTTTTGCTTTTATATTTTCCCCAGCTCCACAAAGATGAGGGAAATAAATATTGAGGCACATTTGGCTTTAGGATTAGATACTTCTAAGGTATGAGTCTCCAGATTTTAGTTCATATTTTAATTCAAGGTTAAGCTCGCACAACTTTGCTGAACTAAGAAATGCAAGAAAGTAGTACCCTGAAACTTCCTAAAAGAGTCTAGTACCAATTGTAGTCTTCTTCCTCTCAGATTCCTTTTTTTTTTTAAATAAAAATGGGTGAATTTAGAAAAGATTTTCAATTATTAAGTGACATCCAGAAAAGATTTTAAAAAGACTGAAGGTCATATTCCTCAAACCAATATTACAATGTATGTTAACTGTTTAGAATTTTTTCTTTTCTTCTTCTTCTTCTTTTTTTACCTCTTAAAGTAACCTCTATGCCCAACATCTTCGTCTTGAACTCATGACACTGAGATCAAGAATCGATGTTCTACCAACTGAGCCAGCCAGGTGCCCCTCAACTAACTAGAATTTAAATAAAAACTTAAAACATGAAAAAAAATGACTAAATGTCATTATAATCATTTAAATGAACTATATATAAAGTGCAGTTGCTTTTTTACCTCTGGTAGAATGCTAAATTACTGAACCTTATTTGTATCAGCAGTCAAACAGAAGGAAACCAGTTTACAGGAATGGCTTATCAGGGACTTCTTTTAAGTGATCGCCGAAGGCTGAGGACAGAAAGCATTGAAGAGCATGCAACACCAAATTCTTCTCCTGCTCAATGGCCTGGTGAGAGTTTAAGTGTTCCTGTTTGTTTGTTTTTGTTTTTTTAAATCTACTATTTGGTATTCCATTTTAAAAAGTTATTAACTGGTTTCCTGATTGTTGTTCTTTGTGGATTTGGTGAATGGTTTTTTATTTGTTTGTTTTTGATGATGTTTTCTGCCATGGATTAGGAATTCTTAAGTACTGTAATGTTGTCTGAAGACTCAGAAAGTTAAGGCTTCAAAACCCAGCTGTGTTGACCAGCATAAAAAAGCAAGGTTTAACATCTTTCCTAAGGGTGAGCACATCCTCTTCCTTATCCTTAGAAATCCTAAATTAGGGAGCAGTGTCACAGAGATATTTTCACAGATGTGCCAGAAGGACTACAGTTATTCTCGAGTGTAAATTTGTATGTGGGGATAAGAGTGACCGTTCCGTGGCACTTCTTTCATGCTGTCAGTCCTTCTCTTCTCTGGTTAGCTCTCCTTCTCATTCTCCACATCAGTTAATTCACACCTTCTCCACTTTCTTCAAACCTTTTCCTGATCTGCTCTGTCATTTAGTTTTTACTCTACTTGCTTTATAACTGATTGTTGTGAAGAGTGGCAGTAGAAATAAGTGACAGTGTGTATTTAATATCCACTTATGCATAAGTTTCTGCAAACATTGTCTTCATTTTAATTTTTGTATAGCTTTTTACCCAGATTCTCCAAATGTTAGTATTTTGCTGTACCTTGTTTACCATTCATCCCTCTCTCTCACTGTGTGTACATATGTATTTTTTCTGAAGTATTTGAGAGTAAGTTGCAGACATGATACCCTTTTACATCTAAATATATCAGTGTATCTTTCCTAAAAACAGACATTCTCTTACATAACCATAGCACAGTTTTTAAATTCAGCATCTTCACATTGGTACAATATTGTTCTTCTAAACCATAGATCTTTCAGAAATTTCCCAGTTGTCCCACTCATGTCTTCCCTATAACATTTATTTGTAATGTCTCATGAGTCTCCTCTGATACCGACTAGTTCTTCATTCTTTTTTTTTTTTTTTTTGTCTTTCATGATTGACAATTTTGAAGAGTACTAGCCAGTTATGTTTTAGAATGTCCCTCAATTTGGGTTTTCCTGGACTTTTATTAATATTAGACTCAGGTTATGTATTTATAGCAAGGATAGCACAAAAGAGATATGTGCCCTTAGTGCAGAATAGCAAGAGGCAAGTGATGTCGATTGGTTCCATTACTGGTGCTGTTAACTTTGACCACTTGTTAAGATAGTTTTTGCCAGATTTCTCACGTGTCAAGCTACTCTTTTTTCTTTGCAATTAATAAGTTTCTTTTGAAGAGAGTTTTAGACTGTGTAAAATATTATACTTTTACCCACTAATTTTAGCATCCAGTGATGATTCTTACCTGAATCAGATATTACTGTGGGGATAATTGGATGGTGATTTTTTTCTGATTTTATATCATTCCTTCCACTTTTAGTTGAAATTGTACTATAAGGAAGAGCTTTCCTTTCTCTCCTTTTTATTTATTCACTCATTTATTAGTATAAACTTAATGGGTCTTATCTCATTCCATAGGCTATAATCCATTTCTGTCATTTATTTCATTGCTCAGTTTATGGATATGATAAATATTATGTAATATAGATACATAATTTTGGTTAAGTTACAAATTTGGATTTTTTTCTTCTGGAGCTTTCTGCTGATATACTTCTTATTATATACCCTAACAGGTGTGAGCTCACTCATTAATCTCTTGAGTTCAGCTCAAGATGAAGATCAGCCAAAACTGAACATTTTGTTGTGTGAAGCTGTTGTTGCTGTTTACTTAAGTTTATTGATACATGCTCTAGCTACAAATTCTTCCAATGAACTGTTTCGACTTGCAGCCCACCCATTAAATAATCGAATGTGGGCTGCTGTTTTTGGAGGGGGTGTGAAACTTGTTGTGAAACCTCAAAGGCAATCAGAAAATATTTCAGGTAAGATAAATTTGACACAAATAATGTATATAAATGTAAATAATTTCCAGTGTTAAAGTAAATTATTTTTTAATGTTTTAAGAATTTTTATTTTGAAAATCAGTGATGTTTAAATTCCCCCCCCCCGAATTTTTTTTTTTTTTTAGTGATATTTAAATTATAATCACTCTGGTTAGGATAGTAAATAACTAACTCAATATTTGAATAAAAAATACAGTTTCAGTTCAACATTTTTTGATAAACCAGGACACATTTGAGGTAGATAAGAAATAGAGGACGAGTAAAGGTAAGTGAGGAGTCTGTTAAAGAATGGAAAGGAAAAGGATAGTTTTTAGAGAAGGAAGATTTAAATAAATCCTCATAATTTTTATGGACTGTACCAGCAATTGCTTCAGATTAGGTTCACGGTCATGCATAAGATAGCCTTTCCAGTCATGCATGTGGTTTTTAAAGTTCCATTTTCTGTCTTTTTTTCTTCTCTCACATACTAGAATGTATTTTTCATTCCCCTTTTTAAGATGGTAGGATATGGTGAGGTATAGACTGATGCCATGGGAAAGGTTTCCGTCTTGGTGCTGAAACATCTCAATTTATCCTTAGAAATTGTCCTGTTACAGATGAGGAATCAGTGGCACAGAGTTTAAAGGGCACGGTTCTAATCTATGTCCTTACTGCCCAAGGTTGAATATTATTTTTAAAAATATATTTATTTATTTATTCTTTTGTCTGAGAGTGTGTGTGCCCAAGCAAGGGGAGGGGTGGGGGCAGGGGAAGAGGGAGAGAGAGAATCTTGAGCAGACCCCATGATGAGCATGGAGCCTGACACAGGGCTCGATTTCATGAACCTTGAGATCATGACCTGAGCCAAAATCAAAAGTCAGATGCTTAACCAGCTGAGCCACCCAGGTGCCCCTGCCCAATGTTGAATTAAATGTAAGTCTGTAAGTCAAAGTACGGAAGGAGATCTTACCCACTTTCATTGCTTTCACTCCCACTATTTTTAGGAGGGTGACTCTTCATCCTTATCTAGTTCCTACCTTGTTATAATCTACCTTGAATTTGAAAGTTTTCCCCTTAAATTCCCCTTTCTCTTCCTGAATTTTCTATTATTTTTTCATGGTAATTCATTCATTGAATGAATTAATGCTTAAAACCTCTGAGTACACATTATGTGCATTCACTTAAAACCTACTGCATACCAAGCAGTGTTCTAGGCTTTGGGGTGAATAACACAGTCAAGTCCCTTACCTTCTTGGAGCTTACATCTAGTGGAAGGAAATTCACAGTAAAAAAATTAACAAATAAATATTTCAGTTATGATAAGAACTTTGATAAAAATACAGCAGAGTAGGTGGCAGGTGATGAAGTAAAGCATGTAATACAAGAACAGTCTGGAATGGTCATAAAACACGTTTCTGATGACTGAGCAGAGTTCTGGGGAAGTCAGGGATCATGCCAGACAGGTATCGGGGGCCAGAGACTTTCAGGCAGGTGGTTAAAGGAGGAATGAATGAGTTTGGCCTTTTCCAGGAACTACAGAGGAGGCCAGAGTGGCTGTCTTGAGCTGGGAGAGTTTGGACAGAGATAGGGTAAGACAGCAAGCTGAGGGCGAGGTCATTTAGGATTTCATGGATGATGGTAAAGACTTCAATTGTTGTTTTAAAGGAAGATAGGAAATTACTGGCAGGAGTGACCTAATCTGATTTAAGTTTTCACTGGGCCTACTCTGGCTATTGTATGGAGAATAGACTATACAACAAGAATAAAAGAGGAGGCTATTGCAGTAGTCCACTTGAAAGAATATGTGGATACACCAAGTGTGGTATATACAGAAATGGAGTGTTACTCAGCCATTAAAAAGGAGCAAAGCACTTATACATGCTACAACCAGCAGGAAGCTCAAAAATATGCTAAGTGAAAGAAGCCAGACACCCCACTCATCGAGGAGGACTCTGATTCTCCCTCTGCCCCTCCCCACTACTTGTGTGTTCTCTCTCTCTCTCAAATAAATACAATATTTTAGAATTTTGATTTCCTGTAGTGAGTTTTTAAGAGAGGAGTGGGTTGACTTATACTTTGTGGCCGTCCTCTGTATAATTAGGTGTTTGCTTTATGTGTTCCTTTTATCTAACGGATTCTCAGTCTTGACCACCCACCGTACTAGTTTGCCCTCCTGAGGTGATCATCCTCCATCTTCTCTCTGGTTGACGGAGCAAACCGTGCCTCACCCTCTGACTAGCTCAGGAAGCGTTAGTGAGGATCGCTCATAGAATAAGCTCCCAGCTTCACACCCGCAGCCGTGGTCTATCCTAACTCTGGACTGTTCTTGTTATTCCCCTCCCCACTGCCTGTCGGGCAAAAATAGTTTACTTCTTGTCGACCAGGTAAAAAAGAAAGAATTGCAAGCTGCAAAATAAAATGTGTGCATTTATTTGTGTTCTTTGGAATTGCAGTCTGGGAGACACAGAGTTGACCGAAATTGAAAGCATGCTCTGGAGGACAAGGGGGCTACGGTTTTTAAGGAGGAAAGAGGGAATGTACGTAACTTGTTTTGAAGGAGATGTGATTGGTGCTGGTAAAGCTACGTTACCCTAATATGTAGGTGATTAGTTGCTAGGACTACTGCTAGGTGAAAAGTCCATTTATGTCTGTTCTAAATGCAGCAGATGCCTTGACTTATAGTGGAGTTCAGCAGCAGTTATGAGACCTGGGGGCAGGACATGCATAAACCTCACTTCCTCAGTGTCCTCCTGGCTCCATTTTAAATAACTTTCTTCACAGTGCTTACTCTAGTTTATTATCTCTGTTATCCTCATTCATCCAAACCTTTAGTCACTGGTTTCTGTTGTTCCTCCTCCTTTTCACATTGAGCTTCTGCCTTCTTTTTTAAAGGTGTGCTTTACACCCTACATCTTCAGTGAATCTTTCTTGAAGAGCATAGCCAGAAATGATCTCTCCAGCATTAATGAATATGCCATTTATTTGATGCATTGTACATACAAATACTTTAATCCCTATTCTGTGCAGCGCACAGGCTGTTCATGGCAAGATATCCTTTGATGCTCTGCCCTCCTCTGCTTCTCTGCCATGATGACTGGAAAACAGATGCAGTAACTAGGAAAGTTTAGAAGCACAGATAGAAGTCATTTAGTCTAAATTAAAACATCACAAGAGTAGGCTGAAAAGTTAACATTAACTCTTTGAATTAATAATGGGAAAATAAATGCTGGGTTTTTTTCCTCTTCTATCTTTATTCAGCACCTCCTGTTCCTTCTGAAGACATAGATAAACACCGTAGGAGATTTAACATGCGAATGCTTGTCCCCGGAAGACCTGTAAAAGATGCTACCCCACCACCGGTGCCTGCAGAGAGACCATCTTACAAAGAAAAATTTATTCCTCCTGAACTTAGTATGTGGGATTATTTTGTTGCAAAGGTAAGGGGTGTGAGGAGCACAAGCTTTGTGTGTGTTTATTATATTAATTCTTATGTAAGCACCACATAGGAATGACAAGGCAGCTTGTGGTTTGAATAACTGCTTTTTATTTCTATTTATTCAAAGATTTTTTTTTTTTTATTTGAGAGAGAGTAGAACCAGCAAGAGAGCATGAGTGGGGGGAGAGGGGCAGAGGGAGAGGGAGTAGCAGACTTGCCACTGAGTGCAGAGCCTAAAACTCGATCACAGGACCCCAGGATCATGACCTGAGCCAAAGGCAGATGCTTAACCGACTGAGCCAGCCAGGCACCCTGAGCAACTATAGTTTGGATATTTAATTTCTCAAGTCCAGAAACTGAATAGTCATTCAGAGATGATCAGATACTTGATGATGATCAAATACTTGATATGGATGAAACAAATGAAAATTACATGGGATTTAGGTCTAAAACAGTAGTCAGATTTATTAACATGTAATCAGTGTCATGGTTTTCTAGTGACTGGAGTACTTGTATCTGCCATCTAGGTTCCCTTCATCTCATTATCAGTAGTTCTTTTAGTCACCATGAAATTAGAGTAAGAGGAGGTGGGTGGATTTTTTTTATTTTTTAAAGATTTTATTCATCAGGCAGAGAGAGCAAGCACAAGTGGGGGGAGGGGCAGAGGGAGAAGCAATCTTCCCACTGAGCAAGGAACCCCATACGGGCCTCAGTCCCAGGACGCTGGGATCATGACCTGAGCCGAAAGGCAGATGCTTAACCAACTGAGCCACCCAGGTGCCCCCCCCCCGGGGAGATTTTTATTACAATTAACTTAAAACCTATAAATTGACTTGTAAAGAATTATAGTTTTTTTTTTAAGAATTATAGTTTTACATGTCTCAGTCTCCATATATAGCTTTTAGAATTTAGAATTAGATTTCCTTCACTGTAGCTCTCTGACAGTTTTCATTAAGTTTCTCCTTTGGTATTTATGTTTCTTTAGACTTTTCTAACTAGTTATGTTGATACTTAAGAAAAACACTTGATTTTTAATATTTCTGTGACATGCGTCTTATTTTTTATTAAAGTGTAGTTGACATAGGATGTTATACTAGTTTCAGGGGTGCAACACAGTGATTCAGCACTTGAACACACTGTGTTGTCCTCACCACAGTAAGTGTAGTCATCAGCTGTCACCATACATATTTTTACAGTATTATTGACTATATTCCCTTATGCTGCACTTTTCATCCCTGTGAATTACTTATTTTATAACTGGAAGTTTGTACCTCTTTATCCCCTCACCTATTTTGCCCATCTCCCACCCCTCTGGCAACCACCAGTTTTTTTCTCTGTATGATTGTTTCTGTTTTTCATTTGTTTTTTATTTTTATTTTTTTTTTAAAAGATTTTATTTTATTAATTTATTTTAGAGAGAGAAAGAAAGCACACATGATCAGAGGGAGGGGCAGAGGGAGAAGCAGACTCCCTGCTGAGTGGGGCTCAAGCAGAGAACCCGGAGATCATGACCTGAGCCCAAGTCAGCCACTTAACTCTCTGAGCCACCAAGCACCCCAGTTTGTTTTTTAGATTCTATATATAAGTGAATCATGTGGTATTTGTTTTTTCTGATTCATTTCACTTAGCATAATGTCCTACAGGTCATCCATGTTGTCACAACTGGCAAGATCTCATTCTTTTTCATGTCTGAGTAATATTTCTCTCGGTGTGTGCTTATCTTCTTTATATATTCATCTATCAGTGACTTTGAGGTTGCTTGCATAACCTGGCTATTATGATTAATGCTATAGAAATATTTCTTTCTTTTTTTTTTTTTTAAGATTTTATTTATTTATTTGACAGAGAGATCACAAGTAGAGAGGCAGGTGGAGAGAGAGGAGGAAGCAGGCCCCCTGCTGAGCAGAGAGCCTGATGCGGGGCTCGATCCCAGGACCCTGAGACCATGACCCGAGCTGAAGGCAGAGGCTTTAACCCACTGAGCCACCCAGATGCCCCTGTAGAAGTATTTCGGTTGTAGCTAGCTGTCAGTTATTTTATGGAATCTGAGAGTTTTGCCTAGTTTTCTTGACCTCTCTAGGTCTAGTATCACTTGTGAAAGGAAATATTTGCTTAGAGAGCACTTAAAATATTCAATATTAAGTTAGGACTAAAACAACCCAACTATATATTTAAAAATAACTTTACCTTTTCTTGCAGCCATTTCTCCCTTTGTCTGATAGCGGTGTTATATATGATTCTGATGAAAGCATTCATAGTGATGAAGAAGAAGATGATGCTTTTTTCTCAGATACACAAATACAAGAGCACCAAGATCCAAATTCTTATAGGTAAAAAAGGGTTCATTCTTTTTTTTAAATAAAATCCTGATGTTAGTAATTTTAAGTAATATTATCATGAATTTATATAAGAACTGACTAATATTTTCAGGTTAGTAATTCTGTACCTTTGAGGTAAATTTCTCGACAATAGAGTATTTCTTTAACATCTAGTTTTAAAAAGACTAGCTTCCATATAGAGTGGAAACAAACATGTTTAGTGAGAAAAATACATAATTTGTTTGTGTGCTATTAGAACTTAATATATATTCATTGATATGCTCTTAGATTCCATGTGACTGTGTGGTAAATCTTTTTCCATTAGGTAATTTTCAGATATTGTAAGTGTGATATATTGTTACATATTTTCTATTTTCAGAGACTACAAAGGTTCAAGTTGTCAGAAAAAAAACAGCTTTTTTTTTTCTGGGTTAGAGATTGGGTTAAACAATTGACAGGAATCATTACTGTGCTTCTCGATGTTATTTTCAGTGAAGGAGACTTTGTTTGTTTTCCTTGAACAGCTGGGCTCTTCTGCATTTGACAATGGTTAAGCTAGTACTTCACAATGTCAAGAATTTCTTTCCCATTGCTGGGTTGGAATTCTCTGGTAAGTAATTAATGTTCTTAAATATAATAAAGTAGCATCAAGTTTCTCTTCATGAAAATCTATATAAAAGAGCATTAGGTACTAAAAATTAAAGATTTTATGAGGTCTTGTGTTTCTTAGACCCCAGTCTATGATTTTAATTCATAGCAAGAACCACTGTTTACCCATAGGATTGAAAGAAAAAGCAAGAAATCAGACTAGAGAAGCTACACATTTTCTCAGTTCATTTTAGAGAGTGGGCCTTCTGTTTTGTTAAAAGTTCTAACAGTCCAAATGGTATAAGATTAACATTTTCAGGTTTATTTGTGTTTTCAGAGGTGTTGGCTCTAAAAATTCAGATTTTTAAATTATGTGGATGACAGTCACCATTTTTTTTTAATCAAAATAAGATGACATTTTCTATCATCTTTTAGAGTTGCCTGTGACATCACCATTAGGTATTGCTGTGATTAAAAACTTGGAGAACTGGGAACAGATCTTGCAAGAGAAAATGGATCAGTTTGAAGGTCCACCCCCTAACTATATCAACACATACCCAACTGACCTTTCAGTGGGAGCCGGACCAGCTGTTCTTCGAAATAAAGCAATGCTAGAGCCGGAAAATACTCCATTCAAGTAAGGGTACTGTCGTAATACTCATGAGAATGTAGCCTGGTTTAACTTGCCCAGAAGATAGTTTGACAAAATGTATCCATATTATGTTTATATAAAAACGTTCATAACTCTGAAACTGCAGTTCTCTTTCTAGCAGTATATAAGGAAAACATTAGAAATCTGGATAGAAATATTTTTCACAGCATTACCTGTGATTCAGTAGACTTACTGCTTTTATAATCAGAAAAAAAAACACCTATTATATTTTTGCCATTATTTTAAGAACTTTTATGGAAATATTTTGGAATAATAATCCCCATATACAAACAAGGTGCTACTGACATTTTAGCAGTAATTTAACAGTAAATACATTAAGGTTTTTTACTGATGTTTTGAAATTCTACCTGCCCTCCTGCCTGTCCTTTGGAGAAGCAGCATGCTTTTTGTGAGGCACCTGTCCCATAATTAAGAGTATTGCTGATAAGCTTGAAAGAGCAAGGCTTTTTTTTTTTTTTTTAAGATATTATTTATTTGTCTGACAGAGACACAGTGAGAGAGGGAACACAAGCAGGGGGAGTGGGAGAGGGAGAAGCAGGCTCCCCACTGAGCAGGGACGCTGATGCGGGGCTCGATCCCAGGACCCTGGGATCATGACCAGAGCGGAAGGCAGAGGCTTAACCACTGAGCCATCCAGGCACCCCGAGCAAGGCTTTTTAGTTGGGCTATTAAAAATGAGATCTCTGACTTTATATTTATTGGTGATTTATGTAACCAACAGAACCAACCCTACAGTATAATTTAAAAAGAGAATAATAAGAACTTCTTTTGATTCTCAGCTCAACCTGTTCATTCAGAGAAACTGTAATTAGAGAATTAATTGCTAGATGAAGGAATGATTTTTAAAAGAACTAAAAATTGGGGCACCTGGGTGGTTCAGTGGGTTAAATCCTCTGCCTTCGGCTCAGGTCATGATCCCAGAGTCCTGGGGTGGAGCCCCACATTGGGCTCTCTGCTCAGCAGGGAACCTGCTTCCTCCTCTCTGCCTGCTTCTCTGCCTACTTGTGATCTCCACCTGTCAAGTAAATAAATAAAATCTTAAAAAAGATAAAATAAATAAAAGAACTAAAAATTAAGAGAAATAAATTATGAAATTTTGTTGAGCTTAGGGATAGAACTTATTTGCAATAGATAGTGGAGCGTTTTTTTTTTTTTAAGTTTCTGTAAATATGAAGCATATTTTCTACAGAGTAAAAGAAGGTATGTTAATTTTTTCTAATAGATCCCGGGATTCTTCTGCACTCCCAGTCAAACGACTCTGGCATTTCCTTGTTAAACAAGAAGTCCTTCAAGAGACATTTATTAGATATATTTTCACGAAGAAAAGAAAACAGAGTGAGGTATTTTGAAAAAAAAATTTCTGTTGTAGTTTTTGTTTAGTTTTAACATTTCTAATGAAGTCAGTGCTTGATTTACTTTTTGGTTGGAACATATTATCTTTCATACCTTATGGGTAATAGTTTACCAAACTACAGTGTATTTCTTTTGTAAGATAAAATCTTATAATTTTCATAGAACAGTGAAGCAACATGGGTCCCTTGGTAAATCATGTATAACCAAGTGAAAATTGGTCCCTCCTGTGCACTACTTGCTGTTGGGTGTTTACAAATAATAAATATTGTGATGGATGATTTGAGTAATTTAATATATAAATGACTATACTCTGTATTATAATTTTTGAATATCATTTAATTGGAAAGCTAACATAGCCCTTTAAAAGCATCTAACATTTTTAGCACTTAGAAATGAACAGGATAAACTTTAGAAGCAAGAAATTCAGAATAATTTTGTGAAAGAGAATAAACTACAGAAATACAGAGATGAAGGAAATTTGCTTTTACAAAGGGAGGCAGAGGTCCTGCATTGCACAGCAATTTTTAGGCTAAATATAAATTAACAATGTAATGCAATGCAGAGTTCAAGAAGAATCAGGAATTTGAGAGCCTGGAACTTGAGAACCTAAAGTTATCTCTTCCTTATAAAATGAGGGGTGCACAGATCTGTTATATGAGCATATCAGTCCATTTGGCTACTCAGTGAGGTGAAAGTCAGTGCTCAGAGTAAAGTATCAAATGAGATTAAAGATTTGGCAAATAAAATCTCTGAGAAAGGAGTAATGAATTATATTTCACTTAGGAAAGCAAAAACTTACATGGTTCATTTTCCCAAGGTAAAATGTATAACTGCGTCTCTGTTTTCCCCCATACTTGGATTAGCAGAACCTACCCGACTCATTGTTTTCATGAGTTGCCCATATCTAGATGGTAATTGTGGTCAGCCCTTGTGAATAGTCATTTATTTTCTGTATGGATTTAAAATTATGTACCTAAATGAAGAAGTAGGGGAAATGAGCTGTGGGGATTCTTTGGAGTCTTAGAAGCTTTTTTTGATAAGATCCAGATGATATTGAAATCATTGGTGTGTTTATTAGGGTTTGTTAAGAAATCACAAAACCAAATTCTTCTCTTTCATTCAGTCTACTGTTTACAGTATTTCCTATAGTGATGCTGAGTCCAAATTCCATAGAATAAAATCTAGAAATCTAAAAAATAGATTTAACATAAAAGATACTTGCTCAGTTAGGACTCTCTTATTTATTCCCAGAAAGCCAGTTCACTGAAGGATCAATTTTTTTTGAGTGTTCAGTTCTTCAAATTATTAAATATAATGATTCACTGAAAATATATTTTAATTATTCATATGGTTTGTAGTGGTGGTTTGGTTGTATTGTCAGAGCCTCGGAGTGCTGTGGGAAGCCAGGGGTCTAGGTTGCTGGGACCCTCAGTTTTGTCCTTCAAGATCTGTTCTCTCAGGTTTCTCTTTTTCACCTAAGCCTCTCCCTCTTTCTGCCCCTTTGTCTCTGTGTTTTTGGGATCAGCAGCCCACGCTGTGTGCTTTCAAATTTTTTACCAGCAGAGGGAGGATCTCCATGAAGAGGGGGATAGGACAAAGATAAATTGAACATTTCTTAAAATGCTGTGTAAGCATTTGTTGGCGCCACAGATGGGAAGTACATGGTGGGGAGTTGGAATGGGAGGAAGAATTTTTATCGTGTACCCTTTTGTACCTTTTGAATTTCAAATTACTGAATGGAATTATTATCTTGTCCAGTGCTATCCAATAGAACTTTCTGTGATAATGGAAATTTTTATATGTTTTATATAATAGCAGCCACATATGGTTATGGGGCACTTCAAATGCACCTAGTGTGACTGTATTTTCTTTAATTTAAATGGTCATATATGGTTAATGGCTGTTGTACTGAATAGCACACATCTGCTGAAAATTTTTCATTAAAGGAAAAAATGTTAAAGCTGTTAAGACAAAATAAAAACTGGTCACTAAGTTCAGAAATATGGAACAATTATCAAAACTATCCATTCAGTAAGAGTGGTTCATCTTTTTAAATCGTTAAATAGGACTTTGGTACTTGTGAATTTGATAAATTCCATGAATTGACAAACTAATCTTAAAAATTCTAAATTCACTCAGTTTTTCTTTCTTGATTTTGTGCTTTTAAAAGGAAAGTTTACACGTTCATTTTTTTTTTTTACCATCTTTAAGTTATGGATTGACCATTTCAATGTGAAATTTTTCATTCTCTTTATCATTTCCTTTCATGCATGTGTTTTGTGTTTGTGACGGTGTGGTGTTACTTAGTCTGTAGAAGAACATGTGGAACAGGTCAAACAAAACTGCGTAGTGGAAGATTCCCGCAGCAAGGTAGTATCCCATGTTCTTGGACCTCGCTCGTTCTCAGAGTTCAAGGAGCTAACCTTCATCTCTGATACTAACCATGTTGGCTAATCAGAATACTCAATGCTCACATACACCTCACTGGCCTCGGGTAGGAAATTCTCCACCGTCCCCAACTTGCTCTTCCTAAGCATTGATGCTTCTCTTTCCTTCTTCCCATTGTATCTTCACGTCTTCCCCTTTCCATCTGTTCTTAGACATGGTGGTTTCATCTTTCCTCCTTGAAAGGAGGATCTTCTGAGTCTGCATCTTCTTTCCTGCCCCTCACCTTTGACCCTAAGCCAGCGCACCTTCTCATCCATCTCCTTTGTCCCTTTCTGTTCTTTCCAACTTTCCTTATTCCTGTCTTAGCACCCTATTTTAAAATGTTTATTTCTTACATGACTCCTTTATCTGTCTTTTTCCTCCACTCTGTGCCTGCTGATGCATATACATTCTTACCGCAGTGTCTGCACACTTTTGAAGAGATGCAAGTGGCATACTGCTCTTACAAAATACTAATGAAAACTATGCTACCCATCTTTCGTGATGGCCGTTAATCAGTATCATCCTCTTATCACATCTTTTAATCAGGGCGATTACAGGGCATCAGAGAATTTAAGCTAATTGCAAAGCTAAGTCTCAACATACTAAAATTACTGGTACCTTTTTTCTTGCTGCTGCTGCTGTTACATTTTCTTCTTGTCCTTTTAAATTTTGTGGAATGTGTGTGTGTCTCACACATTGCTACACGACAGCTGAAACTGCTGATAAACATTTTGTAGGTTGAAGCTGATTTGGGCTATCCAGGTGGGAAGGCGAAAATCATTCATAAGGAATCGGATATGATCATGGCATTTTCCATTAATAAGGTAAAAGTTTTAGTCATTATAAAGATTGTACTTTTTTTTTTTTTTTTTTTTAGTGAACTTGCTTAAGTTACTCTGCTTTACAGGCGAACTGTAATGAAATTGTCTTGGCTTCAACGCATGATGTACAAGAACTCGATGTTACCTCTCTGTTGGCCTGTCAGTCATATATATGGATTGGAGAAGAATATGACCGAGAATCCAAAAGGTTAGTCTGTCTTATGTAGTCCATTTAAAAAAAGGTTTTAAGAACCCATTAAATGGTTATGCACGTGATTTGAATTATCTTGAAAAGTATATATGTCTCTCCCTTTATTTGGGTAGAGACATAATTGGTTTAGCTGCCAATAAAATTCTTACATCAATGAACAAATTACCCATACTTCTTCTATTAGACATGGAACTCTTCATAGTGTTGGAGTCAGAATATTACCCCCTTCCAAAGCCTAATGCCATAACTGCAACTTTGACATTTAACCCCTAAGAAATGTCAGGAACTACATAGTATTCAGTAAATTCGGCTGATTTGGATAATTCAAGCAAAAAGTAGAATATACCAATATATTAATTAGACTGATTAGTGTTTCTTCTTATCACCTGACAAGCATATTTTTACAGATAACAATATAGACAGCTTTAGGGCACCTGGGTGGCTCAGTGGGTTAAGCCTCTGCCTTTGGCTCAGGTCATGATCTCAGGGTCCTGGGATCGAGCCCCGCATCAGGGCTTCCCTCCCCCTCTCTGCCTGTCTCTCTGCCTGCTTGTGATCTCTCTGTCAAATAAATAAAAATCTTAAAAAAAATAGACAACTTTACTTTTCAGTGACACTATAGATACTGCACCATCAGTGTTGTGCAACACTGTCCTATTTTGGGGTTTCTTCTCCATGTTTCCCTCCCTCTTGCTTTTCTCCAGACTCCTGGACATTTTATGTGGTTGGGAAATGGTGCATCACAGCCTCTTTTCTTGTTCTGTTGGGTTTTCTGTTTTGTTAGCATATAATATTACTACAGAGTTGAGGTCAGCTTATAATACTACTACAGAGTTGATGTAACCATGTAATATGATACAGTCCATCATAAAAATTACTTAAACATTTTTATGTGATGATTACTAATACTTCACTTGAAGAAATCTTTAAGCTGAGATTTCTTTAAAATGTAGGAATCTGATACATGGGATAACTGTATTAGAAAGACCTTATCTTTTTCTATACATGATAAAAAGAATATTTGTGTTTAAATCTTTCAAAACATACATTTGTTCCAACTTGTGCAGCAGTAAAATTGCCCCCAGACAACATTAAATTTATAAATTTTGTCTAGAGGGAAAAAGCTGACCAGTACTAAAGTAGCCTAGGGTTAGGAATTACACCTACATTTTTCTTATGGATATTTATTCACTCTTTTAAGTGAAGACCTGTGGGTACATAACACAAATTCCAGTTACAGAGCTGCTTAAGAGAAAATGGGACTTGCACAGTAACGCACGAATGTCTTTCACAGTTCAGATGATATCGATTATCGTGGTTCCACAACAACGCTTTATCAACCCAGTGCAACGTCCTACTCAGCAAGTCAGGCGCACCCACCGTCATCTCTGCCCTGGCTGGGCAGTGGGCAGACCAGCACTGGAGCCGGTGTGGTAAGTTATTCACTATTACGGATAGTTACTGGATATGGGCTCACCCAAAAGTAAGTTGAAATCACTTTGACCTAAGAACAATCCTAAAGATCAGGGGCAGTGACTAGTTAGCACCCCGTAATAATAATAGCTAAGATAGCGTGACTCTCTTGTGTCAGGTATGTGCCTTTTGTTGTAGCAACCCTATGTAGTGGGTGCTTTTGTCATCTCCCATTATCCTTTTATAGATGAGCAAACAGCATCAAGGGGTAAAGCAGAGACAAAGAGGAGTTGTGTCTACTACAGGTGTTTGAAGAAATGTGTCTATCACGTTGTTGCTAGTCACTGTAGTTAAAGGGTCCCGTTCTCATGTTCTGCCCCGAAGAATCTGCAGATATTCCTCATTGTCCTCAGGGAGGGCACTCAGAGAAAAGTTCCTTCATCACTCAGCGAAGCTGCTTGGTATCTGCCCGGTTCGCATGGGCCAGGGCTATGCCAGTGAGTGACTGCTTCCGCGGCCTGTTCAGACAAGTGTCCTGTGTGAAGTGGTCCAGGGTGTAGGTTAGTAATAATCCAGCTGTAAGAGAGTAGAGGTTATGAGAATTAGAGTTGGGCTGAAGTATCTTCTCCCGTGTCTCTTCTCTGATGCACACAATGAATTTGTCTTTTATCTTCTTTTAAAGCTGATGAAAAGAAATCTACATAATGTTAAGAGAATGACCTCCCACCCAGTCCATCAGTACTGTAAGTGTTTTACTTGTGACCCAGAGCATTGTAAATGGCCTCTGTCATTTGGAAATTCGTTGATAGAATGGGAAATATTGGAACTCTGTAGCTTTTTCATTTCTTATTTTCTGCTTTTCCTTCTGTGTTTCAGATCTCACAGGAGCTCAGGATGGCAGTGTGCGAATGTTTGAGTGGACACGACCTCAGCAACTTGTCTGTTTCCGCCAGGCAGGCAATGCAAGAGTTACCAGATTATATTTTAATTCACAAGGCAACAAGGTTGGCTCTTGGGGCTCACTGCTAAATTCATCTGAAAAAGATACTTATGAGTAGATGGTTAGTAAAACTACACCTGCAAACCAGTGACCTGGATTTAAGCTGGGCAGGCAGTTTATTGGTGTCTGCTTGGACACCCCTCTCGGCTCCCAGTAAGGCACAGGTCTTCAGAACTGTGTATGGATCAGTCATCCATTTAGAGATACCGAACACCGTGACGATAAAGAGCGCTTTCTGTTGACTGTGTGTGCTGGTGGTACGTATAAGCACAGTCAAGCACCTGAGAGAAACCTTCCAGTTTCTTACTAAATTATCTTAGAGACGTTTGGAGGAAAATGAAATAGATATGGAAAAGCATTTAAAAGGCTGTAAGCTATTTATAGTGCCTGACTTGCGTAGAAACTACAGTAATGGAAATAGGTGTAGGCAGAATGTTAAGTGAGGTTCGAGTGACTTCATCAATGACTTTGCCTTCAGTTTGCTAAGATGCTGTGTTTAACATTTATGCCATTCTTACAGTGTGGTGTTGCGGACGGAGAGGGTTTTCTGAGTATCTGGCAAGTAAACCAGACAGCATCAAATCCTAAGCCTTACATGGTGAGTACATTCAGCATTCCCAGAGCATGTATAGAGGTTGCTTTGTTGGTGAAGTGTCTGTTTCAGACACTAAATCTCATTGGACATTCCCTCATCGGATCTGTTGAGAAGGGGGCGTCTCTGCCCAGCAGCATGGCTCAGCACCCGTTATTGCCCTTGTTTAAACCGAAAAGATTACTTTTCAGAACTTGAAGCATGACCATTATATTTGGAAATGTTCAAGGGCTTTCCCTGTATGTGGTCCTACTTTGAAAACTCTAACTTCTTGATAGGTTTTTAATGTAGTACCTAAAATGAATCAACATGAAATGCTAACAGGTTCTGTATATTCTAATTTGCTCCAGCATTTTTCTTACTAAATTAACCAATCCAATAGGTCACTTCATTCATTAATCCAAACCCTATTAAAACAACTGTTGATGCAGACAAAACATATCTTCACTTGGTGGGGGCTCAGGTAGGGCTGGGAGGTTGTGCTGTCTTGTGCAGAACTTTAGGCTTCATGTCTGTCGATTTTAGTTTTCTAGACTATATATATCTTTTTAATTATGTATATAAGATATTTCTCTTAAATTAGTGCCCTGTAGACTATCATAACGTCTTTACAAAAACAGAAGGGATTTTGAATCAGCTTCACTCATACCTGGACACCCTCCTGGGTCTTTGCCTCCAAATTTCCATTCATTCACCTGATCCAACAAGCAGAGTCCTGCCTGGCTCCGTAAATCATTTCCTACGGCTGTGGAACATCCTTAGGAGTGGTTTGGGGCAGCCCTAACTCTGTAGATAATTTGCAGGACCACTTTTGACCTCTTTATTATTGCTAAAGGTCTTCATGTGCAAAGAAAGAGATAAGGAAAGGTCATTGTTTGCATTTAGGTTACAAAGTTAATTGGACTTGAGCTCTTCACACTATAGTCTAAGACCACAAGATGGGCATGTAGGAATTTCCTTCCTTGGGTTATTATTGTTTATTATGATTTATATTAAGTAAAGTTTATTAAATGTATTTGAAATCATTAACACTGAGTTTGGGCCCTTAATGTAATTAAATGCTTAGTTCATCCTATCCTTTGTTAGATAATCTAAAAATAAAAAAACTTTTAATTCCATGTTTTTACTACTCCAGTTTTAAAATATAAATATTTAGCTAATATTGGGTATTAGCTAAATAATATGCAAATAATAGCTAATTTTCTTATCACACTCTCTATTCTGGATGTTTAACAACAGTTCTTAGTTCACGCATCTACTGCTAGCAGAACTATGTGTGTGCACGGTTCCAGCTTGTCTGGGCTTCTAGGTAATATCACTTGCCCTTGTTTCTTGTAGAGTTGGCAGTGCCACAGTAAAGCCACAAGTGACTTCGCATTTATTACCTCTTCAAGTCTAGTTGCCACATCTGGACAGTCCAATGACAATAGGTAGGTTGACAGAAGCATAATAAGAAATAAGCACATTTTTAGCAGAAAGGTCTTCTTTGCTGCAAAGTATGGTCTTTTTTTACTTAGTACTGAGTTTTTCTACCTTGTAAATACAAAACTTTCTGTGACATAATCCTTATCTCAGTAGTTTTCCTTATCAAGAAGAGAAAAACAAGTACTTATAATTTAGGCTTTCAATAAGCAGATGTATTTATGGTAAAGCTTCCCCCCCACCCCCCCATTCTCAGGTCAGGATATTGAGACTCTGTAGCCATCATGCTCAGTACTGTCTTGGACCTGACACTGCTTTCACTGGCAACACATGCCATGAATAACACCTGTCATTTCCTGGCAGTGATTACCCCTGGGGGTCAGAAGCATTAGAGAGAGCGTTAGAGTGGTCATGGAAAAGATGAGGGTTTGGGGGATGAGATGGCAGAGACATGTGGGGCCACGTGAGACAGAAATGTGCAGTTCGAAAAGGATAAAATGTTAGAAGAGAGGTATCCCCAGCTTCTGCCCTCACCCTAGCTGAGAATCATTGCTTTCCAAATATGAGTGAACAAAAAAGATAGTAAGATGCAATGAGTAAAAATATTTGACTTGAAGCCAGTAACAAAAAGCACATCGTAAACCATTGTTGTGTTTTCTTTGTAAGAAATGTATGCCTGTGGGACACATTGATATCCCCTGGAAACAGCCTCATTCATGGTAAGTGAGTTAAGGTCTATGATTTTTAACATACTATGAAGGAATGCTTTCCCGGTTTTATTCTAACCAGTGAGTGTTTACTCATGGGTTATAAATGAATATCTGGCTATTTTGCTGAGGTAACTATCCAGCTAGCATAGAATAGTCTTTATATTCTATTTGGAAAATATGGTATGGAGATTGGCTCTACTAACAAGGCTTTTTAGCAATTAGTTGCAAAGTGTTTGAGCTCAGTAGAAAGGTATTTTTAAGAATTACACCTAACTATAAAATAAAAGCTAACCTTACAAGAACAAGAAATGCAAACAATGCCATTTAAATACATCCTTTAAGACAGTGTTCTCAGGGGCACCTGGGTGGCTCAGTGGGTTAAGCCTCTGCCTTTGGCTTAGGTCATGATCTCAGGGTCCTGGGATCGAGCCCCGCATTGGGCTCTCTGCTCGGCAGGGAGTCTGCTTCCTCCCCTCTCTGCCTGCTGCTCTGCCTACTTGTAATCTCTCTCTCTCTCTGTTAAATAAATAAATTAAATCTTTAAAAAAAAAAAAAAAAAAGACGGTGTTCTCAGCTGGTGTCCCAAAGATCCCTTTTTCACGCGGTGATCTTGAGAGAAGGCTCCACACTCCAGTATATTTCAGCTAAACATAGCTAGGTGAATTCTTTTATAGAAAGATTTTTCAGTCTTTTGAAATAAGTATAGTTATTTCTCTGCAAATGGTTTTTCTTTGAATAATTAACAGTTCTTCAAGGTGTACCACATACTGGGTTTAAGGCTTTAATTGCATTGAAATGCAGAGAATCCTAGGAAGGCTAACTCCTTACCTTGTAGCTGGTCATTTTCACATAACTGTGGTTGAATTTGTGACTTACCTGACAGGAACTTCTGATGAGGCTGCATGGACAGGAACCGGGAGAGGGTAGAAACCTGTCCTGGTGGGCATTAAAGTGGGGCTGAATGGATCATTGAGAGGTTTGGTCTCCTCTGTGCTTTTCGCTTCTACAGGCTTCTTGCAAGGCAGCGTAACTTTTAAACTTCCTGCATGTGTTTTCATATTGAGATTATGGATAAGAACCTTTTTTTCTGTCATTGGATCTTTTTTAATACTTGGGTCATGATTATAGAAATTGAAATGAAAAATTTGACAGTAATTTCTGTGTTATTTAAATGTGCATTTAAACATTACCAGAATTGTCTGGATAGCCGTTGTCTGGGAAAGACATCTGGTGTTTTCCTTCTTCAGGTTTCACATGCCACGATCATGGCGCCACGGTCCTTCAGTACGCGCCCAAGCAGCAGCTCCTAATCTCTGGAGGTAGGAAAGGCTGCATCTGCATTTTTGACATCAGGCAGAGACAGCTGATTCACACATTCCAGGCACATGACTCCGCTATTAAGGCCCTGGCTCTGGACCCCTGTGAGGAATATTTTACTACAGGGTCAGCAGAAGGTAACATAAAGGTGAGTCAGTACAAGAAGTTGGAAGGTGCTGGATATTACCTGTGTGAGCTGTCAAGACTGGGGAACAGAAACCCCACTGCACTCTTTGATCTTTGGTCTCTTTCTCTTTTCTAGCGACTTACCCTTTGTGTTTTTCTCTCTTTTCCACCAGGTTTGGAGACTGACAGGCCATGGCCTGATTCATTCATTCAGAAATGAGCACGCTAAGCAGTCCATATTCAGAAACCTCGGGGCTGGCGTCACGCAGATCGACATCATCCCGGGCAACCGGATCTTCTCCTGCGGGGCCGATGGCACGCTAAAAACCAGGGTGTTGCCCAGTGCTTTTAACATCCCCAACAGAATTCTCGACATTCTCTAGACTTAAAGGTTTGGGCTTTATTTTTATGAACATTTTAATGAGAATACACTGTCGTAATGAATAGGCGTTTCTGCTTCTTAAGCAGCTGTTCACACTGAAAACAATGCAGAGAATCCCTGTTGTAGAATCTGAGACTGACCCCAGCTGAGAGTTGCCCATACCGGTTGGTAGACTGACTGCATGTACCTTATTCTCACGCTGACATACTCTAAAACAAAACAAAACCCTACTGTTGTATGAAGGGTAGCTATTCTTTACAGCATTTAGTAAACCTGATTCAGAAAGCATTTGAGGTTAGAAAGTATGTTAATAAGTTATAGTAATGGGAAGGACGTTTATACCAAATTAAGGAGGAAAATGTTGCTGATTCAGGTTTTTCTTCCTAGTCTTACCACTGATGGAAGCATGCCCGCAGGCTCCTGTGTTCAGGGAAGGATAGTCACAGGGTGTGAGAAGGTCTAGATCACCAGAAGCCCTTTCTGAGCTGTGGCGCAGCGTGCAGGGACCATTTCTCTGCTGGGAGAGGTCATTTCCATTCTTTTCTGCTGATTATTTTTCCTGTTAGTGTTTTTACTGAGCTAGTACTGTAACTTGCAAATGAGTGCAAATTTAAATGCAACGTTTTTCCTTACGATTTGCACACTCACATTTTTTGGACTGCTAGTTTTTCTATTTAAATATCTGCCTTCATGTTAGGAATGTAATATGTGAACATGACATATTTGTAGTTGACTGAACATACCAGTTTAGTACTTTTTCTTTCAGGGTTAAACACCCCCCCCACATTTAAGGCTATGCTGAAACTACACCAATAGAGCATTTCATATCATAATTTAAATGAATGTTAGGCTTTTTGTGGCCAGTTAATAGTTGATGAGATCGGTGATATTATTTATTACCACAGCCTATTGTATAAACTATGCAGAGTTAAAATATTATTTGCTTATAAATTATTAGCCAATGTTGTCATATTTTGATGTACCTCCTTGGTTATGACCAAAAAATGTTCTTGAGATATTGAAACCAATGTCTGTGTGTTTAAATGTTTACCAGCAAATTATCTCATCATGTTAATGAGAATGTTTAATGCCTGTGTGGTAAATAGTAAAAATATAATGGCATAAAAGCACCTTTCTCTGGAGGCGATGTGATGTTCGGGCTGTGAAATACATATGTAAAAGAAAAATAAATGTTATTTGTTAGAGTTTTACCTTAGTTTGGTCTGGCCTTCTTTAACAGTATTTTTAACCACTTACTTTAAATGTGAGTAAATGTTTGACCGTTAAAAGAATTTTTAAGGCTACTGGGCTGTTCATTTATTCACAGATATTTACTGAGTACTTTTCTGTAGCAGAAACCATTCTAGAAAATGGGACACAGTGGTGAGCCTGACAGAAGGCACTCAGCATTGGGATTTAGTTGGGTAAGAGCCTAACGTGACCATACCTTTTCTCGCTTACTGAATTAAATGATTTTGCTGCTGACCCCGGTGAAGCAGCTGAGCTAGGAATAGTGCTTATGTGGAGTCAAGGTGAGGGAAGGAGGATGTCTAAATACACAGAAACACAAATTTGATAAAAATTGCAGATATATACATACACTTACCACAGTGTATCTAGTTAGTATATGGTATCCTGTTCATGCTGCCTCTTCACCTTTGTATCTATTTTCCTAAAGTAGTGCCAGCTGATTTCTCTTATTGTATCAATTACACTTTTTAAAAAGGAGTTTAAGCGGTTGTCCTAGAGTTTGCAGTGTACTTCTCAAACTAACTTGAGCTACTTTCACATTGAGCTACTTATGCATCACACAGAGTGCAGATACATTATAACACAGTATTCCCAGTTGCTCCCTCCCATCACTGTAACACTGCTGTCATTTATTTCCTTGTCTATAATCCCAGTACATTGCCACCGTTATTACTTCGAAAAGTTACCTATTAGATCAATTATGAACACGAAAAATTTCATTTTACCTTCACTTACGTCTTTTCTAATGCTCTTTCATTCTTGATATAGATGTTTCTGACCCATATAATTTTCCATCTCTCTGAAGAACTTCTTATAAGGCAGGCCTCCTGGCAGAAGAGTCTGTTTTTACTGACCTGAGGAATTCCTTACTTCACTTTGGAAGGATAACTTTATGGGATACAGAATTTTACAAAATTCTACAGAATTCCACCCCCACTGCCCCAACACTTCAAATATTTCACTCCACTCCTTTCTTCCGTCCATGGTTCTGAAAAGAAGTAGGACACAGTCTTATTCTTGGTCCTTTCCTTACCTTAAGAAGTTGGTGGGCTTCTGTTGGCAAAACCCACAAACGTGGAGTCCCTTAAGACTGGGCTGCAGGAGTTTGTACCTTGCAAGCTGGTCCACACTCAGGCTCCAGGAATTTAATTACCTTTTAAGTGTTCCTACCAGTGACTGGCTCTAGCAGCTTCTCCTCGAAGTTGGCTGTCATTACCTGTATCTGCAGGTCTCTTCAGTGTTTGGAGTGGTATTTTTCCCTGGGCTTTCACATCCTCTAATGCATCTAAGAAAATATGTTGATTTTTATATTCTGTGCTTTTTTCTTAAGATAAGGACAGGAATGATGACTTCCAAGTTCTATACATTCAGGCTGAAACTGGAAGTTCTACTTTGTGTTTCTATAAACATTACGAACTATTTCTATAACTAAAATTTACTGTGCCATGGTATAATTTATATAAAGTTAAATTTGCTTGCGTCAATGTTATGTATCCTGAGTACTTATTTATTTAGGCTCCTCTGGAGCTTTTAGAGGCTATTGAGATGCAGTTATGATGGTACGTTCTCCAGGGAAATGATTCTTTATGGATTACTTACTGTACACTAGCCCTGGGCTAAGCAACTTACATAGATTATCTCACTCCCAAAACAAACCTATGAGGCATTGTGTCTCTTGTTAGAGATAATGCATTTTAAAAATCCCTATTTTTCAAACGAAAAACAGTTGAGACTTAAAGAAGTAATATTACTCAGCAGTATAAGGATTCTAAATTAGTTTGACTCCAGAGTTCACACCTACTTAACATTACATTGTATAGTAAACATTCCCCACAGATGTCCTGCAGTCTTCTCCACAGATTCTCTGTAGCTCCTCACAGAAACATAAGCGAGGCATATATTACCTGGCGATCTTTGAACTTCACAGGAGATTCTTTCCCTTAAGCTATGTGTACACAAAAGCTTAGCACCTGAAGCAGACAAAAAACAAAACAAAAACGTTTGACTGACTTCTTACCCAAAACTCAAATCCAGTCCTGGCTCCTATGTTACTCCAGAGTAAAGGAGATTATAGACAATGATAAGAGCCAGAGGGAAAAGGGAAAAAACTTGGGAGATTTTATTACCCCAATCCCTAAACAAAACAAAACAAAACAAAACAAAACAAAACTGGCTCAACTACCCACCCAGGGTAGGAGATTTCAAGCCTAAGTGCTCTGAGAGATTTCAAAAAGAGAACTTTCTACTGTCAAAGCAGTAAGATTTACCTGCTTACTTGAAACAAAAATTATACAAAACAATAGTTCTCAAGACATAGGACATCAGACAGTGGAGGACAGGGATCCCTCAGAGGTGAGCATTATTATAGTCCCAACTTATTACCTGAAGAAATTGTCCAGGCCACAAACAAGGAGAGAAAACCAGGCAAAGCTTGATGGTCTCTCTGAGTTACCAAATAGAACTGGGGCATCTGGGGAGCACAAGATAGAGTGGGCTGAGAAGAGGGTGAGAGAGGTCTCAGAAATTCCTTTTTGTGTATTCAGCTGAATATGAATCCGTGCATCTGTAGGAGAAAACTACTGGTGGTCAGGCAAAGAACCACCAGACAGGATGAAAGAATCAAATCACACTAAACTAGAAATAGTTCATATTCTAACCAACAAACCTCATAATTCATAGGGCATTAGGTACTCATAAGAGTTTTGCTGCAGTAATGGGACAAAATTAGTGAAAGACACCACTGTAGTCCCGCCCAAGAAATCTAAAAGGAAAGGGTTAAGCAATTTCCAAATAAACTACAACTCAGAACACAGTCCCAGAATATTTATAGTAATACAAGGACTAGCAAGGTAAAATTCAAATGTTTGACATTTGATAAAAATTACCAAACATGAAGTAGGATAATATGAGCCAACTGAGCAAATTCAATCCATCAGAAAATGGTCCAGAAATAACACAGGTGACAGAAAAGAATAATAAGGTAGTTGTTTTAAATACATACTGTATGTCCAAGAAGAGCTTTAGACAGGTTAACTGGACAGAATAAAGCATTTTTAAAAAATCGAACCTTCTAGAAATGAACTACAGACTACAATGTCTCAGATGGAAAACACACTGGATGGGATTCACAGATTAAGCATTACAGAAGGAAACCGTACTGAATGTGAAAATATATTAGAAATTCCCAAAGGAAACGAACCCTAGAACCAAGTAAAGAGCCTCAGTGAGTTGAAGAAAACCATTAAGCCACTCAATATATATGTTCTGTGGTTCCTACACAGAATGGGAGTAAAAAACATAATTAAAGAAAGTCTGGGACCCTAACGGCAGATGGTGGAGTAGGAGGACCCTAAACTCGCCTCATCCCATGGATGCAGCTAGGTAACACTCACATCAGCATAAATAATCCAGAAAATGACGAGAAGACTGGTAGAACAAACTCCACAACTAAAGGTAGAGAAGAGACCACATCAAAGAAAGCAGGGAGGGCAAAGATGCAGTGTGGGAGTGAAACAGACTATGGCCATCCATCTCAAGGATGCTGGTGGAGCAGAGAAGGCTGATAAACAGACTATCACACTGGGAAGACAAATTCCGATTTCATTTGGCTTTGAAAATGAGAGGCCAAATCTTGCAAGTTCTTACAACTGTGGGATTTAAAGCCTAGAATTGTAAAAATCAGGCTCAGCTCTGGGAGAGCCCCAAAGGCATTTAAGAAGTGGAGTCCCTGCACTTAAAGGGACAACACAATAAACAGTAGTGAAAATTCAACATGGAAGCAGCAGATTGAAATATGCTGAGGACAGGGGTGCCTGGGTGGCTCAGTGGGTTAAAGCCTCTGCCTTCGGCTCAGGTCATGATCTCGGGGTCCTGGGATCGAGCCCCACATCGGGTTTTCTGCTCAGTGGGGAGCCTAGCCTGCTTCTTCCTCTCTCTCTCTGCCTGCTTCTCTGCTTACTTGTGATCTCTGTCAAATAAATAAATAAAATCTTAAAAAAAAATATGCTGAGGACAGAAGGGAGGGACAGTGATTTATTCATCTCAGAACATGGTCCCAAGAGGCAAGGATCACAAGGAGACCCCTCCAGGAACAAAGGAGCTGGATGCATCATTTCCCGCCCTTGCCCCCCCAGCATAAATAGTCACCTGCAGGTACTAGCACAGCATCAAAGTTCACTACCTTGCTTACACCAAGCCCTACCTCCCCAACCCGCACTTTGATCTCATTTTTCAAGTACACACCTTATTAAAATACACCCCACCTGGCCAGAGACCACACACTGCCTACAACAGGCAAAGAGAACCTCTGCAGATGACTGGACTAAAGGAAAAAGCAGCCAGGACTCAACAGCACATCATACACGTCACTAACATAGGAAACACTTCCTGAAACACCAGTCCCTGCAAAACAGGAGACACTGCACTGCAGGACACTATAGGACTTCTTCTTCATAAGAGCATTAAACTTTAAGAGCAGGAGACTTAGCTAACTTTCATAACACACAGAAACAGACACAGAGACAAAAAAATTTGTCCCAGTGAGAGAACAGGACAAAACCATAGAAAGAGACCTAAGTGAAACAGATATAAGTAAATACTGCCTGAAAAAGAATTTAAAGTAATGATCATAAAAATACTTCCTGGCCTTGAGAAAAATACTGGAGGACATCAGTGAGACCCTTAACAAAGAGATTAAAAAAAAAGAACCAATCAGAGAAAAAAAAAAAAAAAAACAATATGAAATTAAAAATACACTTGATGGAATAAATAGCAGGTTAGATGAAGTAGAGAAATGAATTCATGACCTGGAAGACAGAGTAATGGAAATTAATCAAGCTAAGCAAATGGGAGAAAAAAGAATTATGCAAAACAAGAATAGACAGGGAACTCAGTGACTCCATTAAATATAATAACTTTCACATTATAGTGATGCCAGAAGAGAAAGGGGATAGAAGATTAA